GTAATAGAAAGCTCTTTAGTAGCTTTCAAGCTCAAAAATCAACACTAATATAATCCAATTTCCCAATGCAGAAACCAACACCTTTATCCATATTGCCTTCTATAAAATGTGTTACAATATATATATATATATCTCTCCAAACTATATATGATGCATGCTTTTTAATTAAAATATTAAGATGATAAAGAGGAGCTCCGATGGTGAGTGATGTGAATTTGAAAAGTATGAGAAGTCTGACGCAGCCCCACTAAATTCTACAACTCATCTTTCTCGTGAGGAACATGGAAGTGTACTATTTGACTTCGACACTTTCCTTCAACAAAACGTTGTTACTGTACAGTCTGTACGTGTTTTTGTCCTTGTTGAAATCACAGTTCCAAACACAATCTATATGATTATGGCAATTTCATTCTGAAAAACACTTTTTTTGTGTTAGGTAAATATTTACTTACATAACTACATTTGTGGGATTTTTGTTGTTAAAATCACATGTAAACTAACCAAAAAAAAAAAAAAAAAACATTATTATTAGTACCTTAAAAAGAGAAATTGAGGAGGGTTCAAGCCCCAGGAATGCTTGCGAGAACAGTGATTATATAATATATATGTGTGATAAAATAAGAAAAATATCCTTCAATTATCATTATTATTTTAGTTACCCTTGTTTACACCATATTTTTCCACTTTCTAGTGGAAGATTACCCTAATCGATTCCGATAAAAAGGTATTACGACATTCAAGTAGAAAGTCATGGGACACATGACAGTCAAAGAAACGAGCGGTTACATGAAAGTGGAAAGTCATGGGACACATGGCAGCCAACGAAGCGAGTGATTATATGCAAGTGGAGAGTCATGGGAACACTTGGCAACCTAGGAAGCGAGTGGTTACATTTAAGTGGAAAGTCATGGGATACGTAGCAACCTAGAAAGCGAACGGTTATATGCAAGTGGAAAGTTACGGGACACATACTAACCTAAGAAACGAGTGGTTACATGCAAATGGAAAGTCATAGGACACATGGCAGCCTAAAAAGCGAGCGGTTATATATAAGTGAAAAGTTAGGGAACACATGGTAACCTAGGAAGCGAGCGGTTACATATAAGTGAAAAGTCATGAGATCCATAACAGTCTAGGAAGCGAGCGGTTACATTCAAATGAAAAGTCATAGGACATATAGCAACCTAGGAAGTAAGCGGTTACATGCAAGCCACCATTACTAAATTTTATAAATAGGGCATACTATTGTTACTTAGAAGGCCTGTTCAACACACACAACTTAAATTATAATAGCATTTCAATATAATCTTTATTTCATTGCAATGCATTTTCAATATGTTTAGCCTAAGTCCCACACTTTACTTTACATTAGATAATTTTACAGTCCATTCAATTACTTTCAAAAGTAACGTTGTTCATTCCATACCTCATCACAATCATCTGGTCTCGCAATCTTCTATCTGAAATATTGTTTGGATCTCTTTTTAGAACTACAGTAGTTCCTGGCACACCCATCTGGTTCCATCGGAACTGACCACTTTTACAGGCCAAACAACCCCCTCAATTATTATTATTATTATTTTTGTTAAAAACCCCCCTTTTTTTTTCTTTTTTTTTTTTTGGTATATTTCAAAGTGACTGGTCTAAAGGCCAAACTCAAGCCAATTACCTTTACATGCTCAAGCATTTTATCAAAGGGCTAGTAGCGCAATGGTACCAAGCCTCTATTTTTTAAAGAAATATTAGAGTTCAAATCTCAGTGGAGACAGGGTATTTTAGTGAATTGCTTTAAAATAAAATTAATAAAAAAAAAACTTATTATCATTTATTGGATCAGCACGCAAAAATTAAATTTATCAAGAATTAAAAATATATATATTTGCCCTATTAATCCAACTTCAACTCCTGTTCCCTCTCCATTGATCGCTATTTCCACACTCCCATTGATCTCTGCATGGTGATATACATAATACATACTATATGTTATGTGTACATATATAATGCGTGTTTCCTTTCCCACAGTTCTGAACATGCATGAGAGAATTCCGAGGAGAGTTTACAATTGAAAGGGCTATTGGAATTTCTTTACTCAATTAAATCGAAGATAGAATGATATATTTAAATTCAATAGAAGCAAAAATGTATAAATTCTAAACGGAGGAAAAGAATCAAAGAAAGAGATGGAGTTGAGGGAGAAATAGAATATAAAAATCAATTAGGTTTTCTTTTCATCCTTCTTTTTTACTCTTTTTCTTTACTAAGTTTAGATTTTTACAGGAAAATTGACCCAAAAAAAAAAGACTTTTGAATATATTTAGCTCTTATTTTATATTGGTGGGAGGTGACATATTATTACGAAAAGTGACATTCTTTCTCCATTCACATAAATATCGTCCAATATATTTCCCTTTCAAACTATCGAAACTCTTAATCAAAACATTAACTTCACAAATTTCATGTGTTTTTTCGTCACATAATGAATAAAGTAACTGGAGAAAGAGAACCAGGAGGCAATGGTGGTCCAATAAGAGATGAGGTGAAAATGTCATTTTCAAATCGGGTAGGTAACACTTGTTGGTGGGTCTTATCCTTTTCAATCTTAAAGATTATCAGCAGAAGGCAAAATTTTATTGGAAGCCTAAACAAATGAATTTTGCCAAAAAAACGACCTGGTTTTACCAATGGGTATATTTGTAATTTTGTAGTACAACGCCATGGCCTTGTAAGTTGTAACTCTTGTTTGCAGATTTTTTATAATTTAGAGAATTTTTTGCTATGAATTATTTGCAGAAAATTAACAACACGGGATTTATTATTATTATTATTATACTTTACTCATATATATATATATATATAAAAGGCCATTCTGTTTACATTTTCATAGTCTTCTCCTTAAAGAGAAAAAGGTATCTTCACTTAGGTTATGTTTCTTTTTTCAGGTAAAATATTTTTTAATTTTTATTTTTTCATTGTTTTGCAAAGGTTGAAGTTGACTCTATCGAATAGGGTATATAAAATAACTCACAAAAAATTGATGAATAAATTATTTTTATTAAATTTTAATATTTTTTTTATTCTTAAATATTTTAAAACAACCAAATACCAGAAAATAAAAAAAATATTTAAAAAAAAATATTTTTACATCCAAACCTTAGTCAAAACCAAACTAAATTTTTCTTTCCACCACAATTAATCACATCTTTAAAAGCAAAGGCCTTAAATCCAACCAAATTTACTGAATAAAGTAAATTTACCGAACTTTGACATTTCTTTCCATTGTTGTTGGAGAAAGAAGAGAACCACATGTTTATCAGATAATTAATAAGAAAATGTCATGAAAATGATGCATCATTTCTTTAATTAATCAACTAACCTGACAAAATTTTGTTGCTTGAATCTTCAACAACCCATCCCTTGTCTTCTTCTTCTCTACCTAATCTTTCGAGCACAATAAATTATATAAGCCAACCGCTTATAGCTGTAGTGATAACTAACTAATTTTTGTTTTCTTTTGCTACTCAATTTTTTATCATCCCAAAAATATTTTTCAAAATTTTTATTCTATTTCTGTGTTCACGATATGTAGATTATAATCGTACTTAAAATCTGAATATTAGTAACAAATAGGTCATGTTATTATTATATTTATAATGTTTACCTCATATGCTATGAATCTAAACTCACCAAAAAGTAGACCTGGCCATTTGTTGATTGCTTCTGAATTGAATTTTATATGTATACTGTTCAGTAAAAAATGAGAAAAATTTTATTGGACCAAACGTGTTAAGTTACCACTTAAGAATACTTTTGTTTTCCAAGTAAAATTTTGTTCAACACCACATATAAAATAATACATGGATCCAAGTCCAACAAATTGACGATTTCTATATATTTATTTATTGTAATATATGGGTAAACAAACCAAATTTTTTTTTAAAAGAAGGATAGCCCACCAGCTAAAAGCCCAAGGGCCAAACAAGACCACTAAAGCCCAAGAAATAGGTTTCAAACTTGAACTGAAGTTATGGATTTACATGTGTTTGGAACTGCCTTGTAGAGTTTATGTTCCCCTTCCTGAATTGTTCAGGGAAAGAAATGGGTAGTGATAAATTTATTTATTTATTTTTGTCGTGATAAAGAACTTTCACAATATTCTTTGAAAGGAGAGTAAATACCACTAAATCATAACTCGTGATAATAGTGACTAATGAAGAACCTTATTTGTATCGAAGGGAAAAAAAAAATTGACGAAGAGGAAAGTACATGATGTTCATTGAACTATTTAGCTAACATATTTCACTGTAATTATTTCTTAAAAAGATTTCAACAATCTATTATTATTATTTTCTTTTTTTTTGAGTCACAATGGTAGTGTTAGGCCTCTTAGAATGGGTACCTCATAATCCACCACCAGACACATACATCTCTCGTCCCACATGCATTGAACAATTACTGAAAAATTTCCTGACCTAAAGAGTATTTGAACTCCGAATCTTTAATTGAAGTTCAACCAAATTCAATTTTTAAATGTTATGAGACAATGCCATTTACGAGGGTTTGGATACATTTTATGTGAATTATTTATTTGACCTCCTTTTTTCTTCTGTATTCAATCTGATATTTTTCCACATAGAAAAGCTTCATAGCATGAAATTCTTTTGCCAATTGAATATGATCTGGAATGGAAGTGTTCCCTCTGTAAAGGGCTAATTTTAAATCACTTTGAAAGTATTTTTTTTGGGGGTATTTTTCTTATCTGATAATCCCTCAGAAATGTCCCATGTTTTTCCACTTAGATATTAATCCTTTTTTTAAGTAACTACAAATCATAATAAACAATAAAAACTCCATGAAAAATCATTTTGGGGCAGAACAAATGATGAAAAGGAAGAAATTTTCAATTACGATACCGCGATGATTTTACACTTCCATTCAACTAGCATCATGTTATTTGTTGTGTTTGGGTACAATTTCAGTTTTTGGATTGACAGCATAGTTCATGATATATACAACTGGAAATTCTTTAGCTGTAGTATTCAAAATATGAATCAGCAGGCTATGTTACATGGTCAAATTTAGAATTAAAATACAATCAGAAGGTCCAAAGTTGATATGTGTAATAGCAAATCTATTTGGATGGCTCTATAAACCCTCCATGAATAACCAATGAAATACAGACACATAAAACAATCAATTATACAAAATGCAACAATAGAGATACTAAATACAGCTCACTTAGTGTAGGGAATCTATGTTCTTGCTCAATTCCTCCAGCTTCTTCATCCTCACTTTTTCACTTTCACTCACCAACTGACAAATAAAGGAGAGGGTAAGAAAAAAATTATTACAAATACATGTAGTAATTTTAGTAAAGTGCTTTCACTTGCAGACAAAGCAAAGTAAATTCACCTCCATTAGTTTGGTGATTAGTTGAGCTTTTTCCTTGTTCTTCTCATTGAAAGCTTCTAGTGCTTCTTTGTATTCTTTTTCCTGTCAAAAGTTTTCACAAAAAAGAATTACTTGTTGACAAGTACTACACTGTTACTTTAATAGGTCATATGATGGATGTAAATATAACAACAAAAAAGGAATGTTAGTGAAAGGTGAATTGTATTGCTTAACCTTCTTCTGGCAGATCTGTCCCAATGGCTTCAACTCTCGGTTAACCACATCCACCTTCTTACGTACAATTGCAACTTCCTTCCTCATTGGATCCGTAAGAGCTTCAAGCTCCTAATAGACATTAAGTTGTATCATTAATGATTGAGACCACAATATAAGTATACATATATATATATATACACACATATTAGTATTTTTATTATGCACAAATATTGCAGATAAAAAGACAAAAAGCATATGTGACTCATATATCTGTAAGATGATTTTGATCCAAAGTTTGTTTATGTAAGCATCTTAATGTAAACATTAGTATGATTGTATGAAAATATATTTCAACTTACTTCTCGGATCTCAGCTAAGCGTTTAGTCTCTTCTTCCACGCGACCAATATGAGCCTGAACCTTCTCTTTAACCTCCATCTTCTTCCTCTCGATCTCTTCTTCCTTTGCGCGGAATGTAGACAGAGCTGACATCGAAATCTCCTCATCCCTGTCTTCTATTGGGCTCCCATTGTAATTGACTATTCCCGAGTTCTTCACTCGCAGTACTTGTGGCGGGGTTGCCATTGCTGCTGCCTCCAAAACTCCTCTCTCTATTGCTTGTAATTATCTTTTATCTTCTCTCTTCTTTGCCTTTGTGCTTGCAATGATGGTTCTCTTTCCCCTGTTACAAATGCTAGCTTATAAACAAGGCTAACTTTAGAGGGTTGAAACCAACTAGCTTTCTTTACAACAGAACAAGTGAAATGACCAAATTGCCCACTCATTTTAATACCTTAGAGAGGATTCCATCTTTGTTTAGTGACAGCATACATTCCTGAGCACCCACTTGATAAACACATTCACAACTTCCTTATTGAGTTCTAATTAAAGAAGACACTGCTGTTGAATTCTTGAATTATTTCTCTTTTTCATATATTATTTGAAAATTTGATGATGGTTCTAGATGGGCTTCTTCTGGTAAGAGAGCTGTTTTCTTAAGTAGGTATATATATTGACAGATTCAACTAACTACTACTGTTACTCTACATAGATAATCTATGCCCTCATGACTATGACACTTCAATACCTGATATATGCTAAATTATACATTGTATAAGTGTATAAAACAAAAGTTGTTGGGGGTTCATAATTTTATCCAAATTAGGGATATAATTTCAATATATATATATATATGTGTGTGTGTGTGTGTGTGTGTGTGTGTGTGTGTATGTTGAATAGTCCCAAGGAATATTGGTAAATCTTCTTTTTTCTTGAAGAGGGGTGGTGTTTGGTGTGGAAGTTTTATTGAAGAGTGTGTGGGGGGTAAGGACTCACCTACACATGACATGAATGAGAGCCTTAGGGACCAAGACAAAGTAGGAGAGAGGTGCCTTTGTCAAATATGATTACCCTTTTTGCTTGGGCTTCTAAGCAAGAACCTTTGCCTTTTATCTTTATCTTTTAATCTACTGCTTTAACATGCTATGATCATCTATGGACTACTTTTAAGACTTGCTTGCTCTGATTACGTCTCATCTTGTTTTGCAATTTCTAAACTGAAATAAAGAAATATATATGTGGATCAGACGATAGAGATTATCCAAGATCACAGATGTTTCTGTTCTTGCATTCTTTCTAATAATCTTATGCATTCAAGAAGATCCTTTCTGGCAATTGATGATTATCAACCTTTTGCTTTTGTTGTTCAATGACCATGGACTTTATGATCTGTACTCTGTTTAGCATATTTAAATGCAAATTTATATTTGCTTCTATCATTTCAAGGGAGACAATTTTTCTACAGATTGCAAAGATTAATGATGGACAAACCAATTTAATAAAGCTAAATCCAAAGTGAATTATGTTTTTTTTTTTGGTTTTTAGAAAGTAGAAGCAAGTAGAGAATTTTGGTAAAGTATGCATCCAACTTTTTGCTTCTGAATGCAATGCTGTGAAGGAAGCCACTTTTTAATGCAAATGTCAAGACTCAATTTCCATGGCAACGTGAGATGAACACCATTCATAATAACCAACAAATGAACACCATTCATGGTAACCAGCAAAATTACTTCCGTACTCAAAGTACGAAGAAACTAATTCAATTGTAAATCCTTAGCTCATCAAGTTACAGATTTTCCCACCAACCATAAATCTATACATTTAAACCCATTTTCCAACTACACTTATTTTTTTTTTTTAAAAAAAATCAGTAAATTACATTCTTTCCTCCTACACAAAAATTTCGTCCCCAAATTTAAAGATCAAACTTATTTCATAATAATTGGAAAGATATAACATTAAGGTCATTGCCTTACTTTTCCAAATTTCTCATGTGAGATATATATTTTGTAATTGGCGAATTTTGTTGTTAAAACAAGTCCGATCGAGTTATAAAATTTCGGTTCAAAATTTCAAGATTCAAGATCGGAAGCGGATTTGAAGAAATTCAAATGTTCATGCTTCATATACTTCGGGATGATGAAAACAATGCTATAGAGGGTAAGAGGGTATGTGAGTACACTTTAGAGGTTTAAACTTATGTTTTTAGGAAAACTTTACATTCTGCCCAACTTGAACTGATTCAAGTATTTTGGAACAGGTTCAACCTTTGAGACTTTTTAGTGGTTTTCAAATTTGACCAACTTGAACATGTTCAACCACCCTGACCCGGTTCAAGTGTCAAAAATTGTTTTCTTTGAAAACTCACTGACCAACTTGAACCGGCTCAAGTGTAAAAGATTGTTTTCTTCAAAAACTCACTAGTCAACTTGAACCGGTTCAACCAGAATGGGTTCAAGGTCTTCAGATCTATTTTGGTAACTTACCTTCCTATTCTGTTTTGATTCCTATCTTTGGTAGACTTTCTCTATATTGTATATGCACGAAATTAACTTGGGTCTCTGTTTGGGGGAGCTTCCAAATTCTACAATTCCTTCCATTTGAAGGCCTTTGCAAAATGTATTTCAATGAAAGGAATTTAAAAGAAAAAAAGTTGTTTGTTGAATGTAATTTTGAAATTTCTTCGACAATTGACATAGTTTTTAAGTTGACATTTTTATCCTTTATAATTAATCTAAAAAATTTCTCTCCAAAGATATTACTGAAATACTTCCCTAATCAAATACTCCCTCTGTCCTAAAAAGAATGTCTCTTTTGGAAAACCGTGACAACATAACTTTCATGCATTCCGTACTTATATATATACACACACACACGCACGCACACATCTATTTATAAACAATAGATTGTAGAGAAAATGAACCTTGAAATTAAAAGTTTTCGGATCTAAGGGTTAAATGCAGATGCTATGGCCATGGCTATTTTCTTTGTCCAGAATTAAGAAGTTTGAATTACGTGTAACATTGCTATAGTGATTACATATTAAACCTCCTAATCTTTCAAGCAATAAAAAATAAAAAAACTCAAGACTCCTTATAGAACTCATTCAATAAAAGTATTATAGTAATGGAATCTGAATGATAGTAGAAGACTCTTTAGAGTACTTGTCCAAATAAGAAACTTCTTATAATAATGGAATTTGAATGGGAGAAGAAGACTTTCAACGCAGAAAAATTATACGATCAATGGTAGTATTAAAAATCACAAGCACTAAAAAAATGTTTGTCGACTTGATGTTTGTTGGCTTGGAGTTCTTCTTTTTCTCTATTTCATCGGTATTCTTCGTATTTCCGTAACTTTCAGCAAAACAAAAAGATTGAGAGAAAAATCGGTTGCAATTTATTGATAGACTTTGAGGGTTAATATAAAAAATTTGATATAATATGTAAGGATAATTTTGTAAAGTATAATTTATTACTTATATACGGCTAACTTGGCGAGAACGTGTTTTTAAAAGCTCTTTTTTTTTTTTTTTAGTCTAACGGGCTTTAATGACTTCCATTCCCGGCATAAGTCCTTTACAAATCATCTACCAAACACTTTTTTTTTTGGAATGCCTTTTTGGACTTGAAAGCCTATTTTAGAGCTCCAAGAAGCCACGCCAAACATTACCTTGGTTCCAAGTATCGTTAGGTCTTCTTGTTGTGGTTTTGTGGAGTTTGGTTAGATAAAAGATTTTTAGGAAGATTTAATTATATGGAAATTTCAAGACTGCTGAATTTTAAGAAAAATTCAGTTTCCTGATCTATTTTAACTTCCTTATTGATTTTGGATTCTACAAAGGACAATTTCTTGTAGGACAAATTATTTGGGGCTATATATATTAACTCCAATCAGATTTTAAGATGTGGTAAAAATAGAGAGAAAAAAAAAGAGAGGATCATTATACGTTATTCGATGTGCTCCATATACGTAGCCCTAAGATTTGGGTGAACCATCTATATCTTGTGTTGATTTCCTTTTTCTTTGTGATTCCTTGTGATTATTCCTTGAACAACGTTATTTATTTTGTGTTTCCGCCACAATAACTGGTATCAAATCCGGTTAATTGTGCAAAACAACTCCAACATTTCCAAACTTCTATATAATCTCTTTTCTACTCAATGTACTATTTGACATTAACACTTTCCTTCAACAAAACGTTGTTACTGTACGTGCTTTTATTCTTGTTGAAATCACAATTCCAAACAAAATCTATATGATTATGGCAATTTCATTCTGAAAAACACTTTTTTTGTGTTAGGTAAATATTCACATTTTTTTTTTAACCTGGCAAGAAAAAAGTCATACAGCATCCATAGGCAAGAACATGAAATCATATCATAACAGAGAAATGCATTCAGTGCCATGAACACAAAACATCAAAACCAACACCCCCAAATGTCAAGATATCATCCTTGATAATAACTGAGAAAAAGAAACAGAGCCCTGTAATGTCCAGAATGGTCAAATTTTGGACCCACCAAAGCACTTAAAAGATTACTTATCAAATTATACCGCCTCACACATAATCCAAAAACACTCATGACTATGGCCCACAAAAAAGCAAAAGACAACTTCTAGAGAAAATGTGCATGACATCAGCCATGACGTCATGGCATCCCTAGCCGAAGAAGCACAAGTCGACCCAGTCGTCAAGCCACCGACAATCACAAACCAGCAAACCCCATGAGCACGCCGCTGGCGAATGGAGCCGAACCACTGACCAGGCCACGGATTGCTTAAACTAAACCCCGTGACTAGAAAACACCAATAACAACATCCATTTTTGAATACCCAACAGAAATGGTGTACCCCAAATTTCTTTACCACAGGCCAACAAATCAAAGAACAGAGCATCCCACTAGGATAACCCAGATGCGTCGGCAACCAAGAAGTTGGAGAAATTGATTTCGCCGACCAAGCCCGAAACGGTGAAGCCTTCACCCAGAAAGAGAATAAAGGCAAACCACGAGATCTGAAAGGCAAAAGACACCATAATAAGATAACACTAACATAAAAATACAAAAACTTATAGCGATATGGATCTAAAAGAAAATTTTGCATTGATGGGTCCTCAAGTCTTCCAAAATGGAGAACCCCCAGATTCACATCTCGCTGCGCACAGTTGCCGGTTGGACAAAGAGTGAAAGGAAAACCCAAGAGCACCAGAAAGGAATCCATCAGGAATAAAAGAACAAGAGGAAATCCAAAGAAAACACTCTAACAAACAGATAATCTCTTAAGAAAAGAGAAAGCTCTTATGCAAAGGAGGAAAGAAAACTCTGATGAACAAAGAATAGAAAACTGGATCAAAATGAAAAGAAGAGTTGGAGGATCTGAGGGGTTTGGGGTTTCTCTCTCTAGTGCTGCCCCAAACCCCAGGTAAATATTCACTCACATAACTACAGTTGTGGGATTTTTGTTGTTAAAATCACATGTAAACTAGCAATAAAAACAATATTATTACTAGTACCTTAAAAAGAGAGATTGGGGAGGGTTCAAGCCCCAACAAAGGGATGCTTGTGAGAACATTGATTATATAATATGTATGTGGGATAAAGTGAGAAAAATGTCCTTCAATTATCAATTTTTTTTTTTTTTACACCATATTTTTCCACTTTCTAGTAGAAGATTGCCCTAGTTGTTTCCAATGGAAAGGTACTACAACATTTAAGTGAAAAGCCATGGGGACACATGGCAGCCAAAGAAACGAGCGGTTACATGCAAGTGGAGAGTTATGGGACACATGGCAGCCAAGGAAACGAGCGGTTACATACAAGTGGAAAGTCATGGGACACGTGGCAGCCTAGGAAACAAGCGGTTACATTTAAGTGGAAAGTAATGGGACACGTGGTAGCCTAGGAAGCAAGTGGTTACATGCAAGTGGAAAGTCATGGGACACATGGCAGCCTAAGAAGCATAGGAAGCGAGCAGTTACATACAAGTGAAAAGTCACGAAACACATGTCAGGCTAGGAAGCGAGCGGTTACATTCAAGTAGAAAGTCATGGGACACTTGGCAGCCTAGGAAGCAAGCGGTTACATGCAAGTTATCATTACGCTCGGGACAGCTCGCTAAAATCCTGGTGTCATCTCTCTAACTTTACTTGCTTTACTTTTCAGTATTTATCTTTGTGATTGTGAATGTTTAATTGATCATATTGCTTAGGTAAATTAATCAATCAAAAAAATTGGGCAAGTTAACATACTATTCTCATCTAGGTCATTTAGAGATTTAATCACAACTAAATCAACTAACAGCTTCCACACTGCGTTACTCACAGAGATAGCGCAACCTAGCCTGGTTGTGGTAGCTCGCCGGTGCCCGGCACCCGCCCACGCACACTGTCTACATCGTCACTATCACCACACTTCCAGCTAGGTTTAGCTCTAATATCATTTTGTCACGACCCGATTTCCACGGCAAAACACCATTCATGAAAACCACCAAAATTACTTCCGTACTCAAAGCACGAAGAGACTAATTTGATTATAAATTCTTAGCTCATCATCTTAATTAGCTTAACTTTAAAATTTCCACTTATATTTTACATGAGCCCTGAGTTCCCCCTAAAAAAAGGTGGTTTGTTCTCAAAGTCATGAGTGTTGAATTAAACACTCCCATAATCTAACAAGGTGGTTTGCATCGCATAGTCCCGAAGTATCGAAAATACACATGCGACTGAGCTTATACGTTTACTCACTCGTATGGTTCCAGACTATGTCCACGTAATAAAGGCTTGCTCAACCCAATGACCAGGTAGTGCACTCCCAAAGAAACTTGTCCCAGTCCATGCCTATAGCAAAGTCCTCGTAGAGTCTAAGACCACCTGTCCAACTAATCAGATAATGTCCTTCAAATTCCACACAAAACATATACGGAGTAACAATTTTATTTGAGAATAATATATCCTTATCCACATCAATTTTATGCACAACCGATTTCCATTGCAAGTTGAAACCCATAAGCAAATGAGAAGAATATAAATGCTAATCTTACTGAATATCATCTCAAATGGTAAATCAAGTGTTAGCAGAAAGGTATATATATAAAACACAAATCTAAATCTCTTTATGAAGGTACTAAAACTCATATACTAAGAACATTGTCTCATACATGCTTGTTCCCGTCAACTAAATCCATCGTGAATTTAATATAATCTAAGGCAATTCTAAATTTAGCATCTAATTAATAGATTACAATAATATATAGAAATATAGTGCAAAATTAACTTGCCTTTGAATGGTAGATTTTCCTACTCTCTGTCCCTCCCTCCCTCACACACGTTCCGTTGCCTCTGCTTTTTTATTTTCCACATTATACTGTACTCCGTTTGTACTAATGCAACATATTCCAATTTTTTTATTTCCAATTGTAGTTATGCATTAATTTCAACTCACATAAGTTTCAGATTTTCCCACCGACCATAAATCTATACATTTAAACCCATTTTCCAATTACATTTTTATTTTTATATTTTTTTTATAAAAAAATTCAGAATATTACAGCAAATGGTCATAGCAACAATCTCCGTGTACATTTTTTAAGAAGCCTAATTTGGAATTTTCATTTAATTTGACATTATCGAAATATAATTTAGTCATTTATACACTGATATTCATCCACTTCCGGAGAAGAAATATACAATGGTAAAAACGATGTAAAATCTCTTTCTCATCCTTCTTTAACTAAGCCGTGGATTTGTTAGCTTCTATTTGCTCTCTTCTCGTGTTGTTAGAAGGAAACAAAATGAGAAACTTACGGTCAACTATTAAATTGAGCTTTGAATTTTTCTTTATAATTTCCAATTCTATGGAACAACACACCTAAGTTATTACGGAATAGTAATAATGAAATAAAAAAAAATAGAAAGAAATAAATATAACATTTTATATATGAAGTCCAAAACGCCCTTTTGATTAAAATACACGTGGTAACATTTTTTTACGATGAAATTCAATCTAGCGAATCCAATCCGTCTATCGTCATTATAATCTTCAACTAAAATTGTTGCCGAGATACGAGACCATCAACGGTATCTCGAATTTGCAGTATGGGATGGGTCCGATGGGGTCAGGTGAATTCCGCCAAAAAAAATAAATCTTTGACTATGACATGGCAAATCGGTGGCAGTCACTAGGCCTTACCGGATGAAACTAATTGTATTGGACCTAAATTCCCTACATCTTCTTCACATTCATTCCATCGTCAATTTCATAGCCGCTCGCGAAGCATCTTCGACTCACCGTCCTTTGCTGTTCTTTTTACTTTCACAGACTCAACTTTATCTCCTTCACGTAAGTCCGATTTCTCATCTTCATACCAATTTCAAGATTAGGGTTTCCTGAGCCATTTTAATTTTTCGCGTTTATATGTATTATCTTACCTATATATGGGTGTGTGTATATATATTTGTCTATAAGCCTATTAAGTTTGATTTGTTCTATATGTATCTGTTTGTAGTTGTATACCATCTGATTGTATCTATTCCTGTACCTAATTGATATTGCTCTCCTCATTTATTTCGTGAAATTCTTTATTCACCGTATTAATTGTTTAGATCTAGTGTTATTAGGTTTTTTAAGATCTTCCGGTGTATTCGGTTGACTGTTGATTGATTCATTTCCTGTGTTCTGTTCCATATTATTGATTTTTTTTTTTTCCTTTTTTTTTTTTGAGAATGTATTATTGTTATGCCTATATGATATGCCACCAAATGGAACTGTAGATGATAGAGGTGCGGATTTAACGATCTTCGCATGCCTGGAGCTGACCCATGTTAATATTACTGGCTTATGGATTCCACCTTTGGGTCTAGGTTTGATCTGGAACGAAATTGGATCCCAAACCAAGCTAGTTTCGGCCAGGGCTGGCTCTGGGCCAAGGCGACCAAGTCGGTCGCCTTGGGCCTTAGATTGTGGAGGGCCTCAAATTTTTTGAGGCCCACAGGGGATGGAAAATATATATATATATAAAAAGTTAGGGCAAGTTTCAGCCGACACAATCTGCTTCGACACTCCTCAGGGCGCAGCCTCAACCATCGCCTCAGGTGACAAGGTATGTTCATCCTGTCTCTCTCTTCTCTCTCCTTTTGCGTGAATCGATCTTTTATATATGTTTCTTTCTTTCGTTCATCTCATCATTTGATTTGTTCTAACTTTGGTTCGTTTGATTCGGGCCTTTACCTTTGTTCCAATAGTGAAAAGTAGCTAGGGTTTTGTGTGTGTGTGTCATTGTGTGTGATGGCTATCAAAAGCTGAATGAATATATTAAGGTTCTCTTAGTATTTTAATAAATGTGTGCCTTTCTACATGTGTCTTTCATGGCGATCGAGTCCATAATCTATGGCAGGTACTTTTTTTTTTTTTTTTTTTTTTTCCCTCTCCCTAATTCCACTCCAATCTCACAACAGCAGCAACCATACCCCTTTTCCTCATTATTTTTTGCATTTTCACATTCAATCCTACGAAAATCAAGGATCCCTTCTGGTGGGTTGAGCCGTTGAGGTAATAATTAACTTTTTCGATCTCTAAATTATTCTCATACTTAAAAGTGCCAAATTAAGTGTTTTTTTATATTTTATTTTTATATGAAGATACATACTACCATTATTGATGTTATGTGAAGTTGGCTCAGCTAGAATTTCAGTTAATAATACTGTCAAAGCACTTGCCATCAGAATGTACAACAAACACATGGAAATCAAGAGCAAGCTTTAACAAAACAAAAGTTAATGATTTTTCTATTAATTTGCACAGATCTTCTGTAGCAATGATCAATCAATCACTGCTACTAAAGTTGATTCCTCATCCTGAAATCAAGAAAAGGGTGATTGTCTCCCAAAAAAACACACACACAAAATGTAGTGTAGTTAATATAAAGAGTGAAACACAAAACTATATATGATAGTGGATGCCACATATAACCTAAAAGTCCCACTACTTCTTCAGTACTACAAGTTCAGCCTTCTATATATATATATAGTCGCCACATCTCCACATATATTTGTCATCTGTAATCATCAAATTTTAGTAGCTATATAAACAATGAATGTAAAAGAATCTGCAGTTTTCTGTCTCTAGTAAATTGTCCTCTTCATTTTTTATTTTGTGCCTGTGAAAATTTTGCACTCTTTAATTGATAAATTTATTGTTATTAGTTAGCTTTCTTATGCACACTGCACATTCGGACAATTATTTATTGGTGATAATAGATTTATAGTTATTAGTTAGTTATCTTATGCAAACTGCACATGTGCACAATTATTTATTGGTGGTGATAAAAAATTATAGTTATTAGTTAGTTGTCTTAAGCACACTGCACAAATGCACAATTATTTATTGGTGGCGATAGATTTATACTTATTAGTTAGTTGTCTTATGCACACTGTGCAGGCGCACAATTATTTGTTGGTGGTGATAAATTTATAGTTATTAGTTAGTTGTCTTATGCACAATGCACAGGCGCACAATTATATTAGCTATAGAATTTTGAAAATGCCATGTTAAAATTTTGCACTCTTATAATTTTTTTTTGCGTGTGAAACTAAGGGCCTCACATTTGAAAGTTTGCCTAAAGTCTCTCAAAATATTTGGAATCTCAAGGCCGGCCCTGGTTTTGGCTTGGGTTAGATAGCATAAGGCTACAATCGTTTACATGTGTATATATATGTTTATGCAAGTAATGTGCAATTCTATATATATATATATATATTTGTATGTGAAATTGGTTATGGATATAAAATTAAAGGGGTTTTTTTTTATTTTTTTTTAAAAAAATTGTACTAAGTCGAATATTTCCCTATTAACTAATGTCTGATTTTTTTCTTTTCCTTCCTTTGTACTTACATAGGTATATTAATACTATATATAGCGCACAAATTCATTTTCTTTGTTTCTGTGTTTGTCTTCATTTAGTTCATAGAAACCAAGAAGGGATCTTTCCCATGTAGCTACATTCAAAGGAAAGGATTATGGTTCACTGGGAAGAAACCATATGAAATGATTGCGTTTTGAATCCTTAAAACTTTACTTGTGATTATTGTGAAAAGAAAAAGATCTTAATACAGAAATCTATAGTACCCATGCCATGTTGTGTCTGAGAAAAGACAATGCATTAAAACTTCAATGAAAATTGCACATTGCGGTGACCGTGGATCGAACACGCGACCTTCAGATCTTCAGTTTAATGCTCCCAACTGACCTATCGGGCATTGGTGGTTAGATGCAAATCCAAATTTGTGGAAATATATTGGAAACATAGCAGTCATCAAGGCTATTGATGTCCCTTAGAATAAAGTTGCAGACCCACCTGGCAACTTTTTCTTGGCGCATTAATCTTGATTATTGGAGTCTTTTATTTGAGACAAACAAAAAGTTATATTAAGGTTTTATTTGATAATTCAATCAGTTAATAATCATGAATAAATTAAATTTTAATTTGATTAAATATGTTTGATAACTCAATTAATTCAGATGCCACTAAAAATTTTATTGCTTTGTTTGGTATCAAGGGAGGAGGAAAGTGAGAAAGGATGGATCAGAGGGAAGAATGGAGTAGGATCCATTGTTTGGTATACAGGGCGAAGAGAAGGGTGGTAGATGAGGAACAGGTATTGGGTAACCCGGGGTACCGATAATACAGTACCCGGTCACCTATTATGGGGTATTTAAAAATATAATAATTGTAGATGATGCATAGCATTTTCCCTTTTTTGTACAATATGTCCCTAATGGAACTTGAGCTCTCAACCTTTCCCTTTGGAGAGAAGAAATGATACCATTGGGCCAGAGGCCCTTCGGTGGACCATGACATTTTTCATCCATCCAAAAATGACGGTATTATCCTTCAATTTTTGCATGCCTTTGAATTTAATGCTTACTTTTGTATTAATTTAGATAATGAGAATATAATGGTAAAAATATATAAAATCTCTTTCTCACCCTTCTAACCAAGTTGTGAAGGTGTCGATTTCCTCTCTTCTCTTCCACTAAACCAAACAAAACAAGAGCCTTCTCTTCCACTAAACCAAACAAAACAAGCGATAATGGCTCGTCCATCCTATCTTTTTAAAACTGAGTCAACTCTTAAAATTAGTTTCTAAAATTTTTATAATTTTCAATTTTATCAAACAACACACCTAAGTTAATACGACTAATAATAATGAGAAATAAATATATACTATTATATATCAAATTTTGAAAAGCCCATTTGATTAAAGTTAGACATGTGAATACTAAGTTGGTTGACCTCCACGCCAGTAAATAGTTGTTAAAGGCACGCCTAGGCTCCAAAAAAGCCCCAGGCTTAGCTAGAGCGCCTCAACCTACTACAGGCTAGGCCCCTTCAATTAGGCTCACATAAAGTCCTTAGGCTCACACTTTTTAGTAGGCTCCAGTCTCAAAAAAGGCGCACCTTGTATTTTTTAATCATTTTCTTATTTACTTATTGATTACTAAATTAAAAGGTTCTATATCATATACCGTATTGTTTAACTTTATGAAATATTTGACAAAATTCATAAATTTATGGTTCACTACTTACATTAACTGCAATTACAACTTGATTGTGAATATATATAATAATATATGCATTATTATATACATGCACCTTACTTTGATCAAGCTCGCGCCTTATACTACGCCTTGCGCTTAGGCTCCAGAAGACCTTTGGCGCCTTAGTGCGCCTTGAGCCTTTAACAACTATTCCAGTTGTGATTTCATGGTGGACCTGAAACACTAACATTTCTCAACATCTAGATAGTGACTTGGCAATTCGCTGGCAAACACTAGGCTCTACCAGCCGAAACTAATTGTATTGGACCTCAAGTCCCTACATCTTCTTCACATCCATTTATTCATCGATTCCTTAGCTGTGCACGAAGCATCTTCCGCTCACCATTTTGTGTTCGTGCTTCTCACATTCCCTGACTCCAACTTTCTCACATTCCCATAAGTCCATTTCTCATCTTCGTACCCAATTTCAAGAGTAGGGTTTTCACCTGTAATTTTGATTTTTTGCGTTTATATTTATTATCTTACTTATACCTATGGGTGTGTATGTATGTGTGGATATATACATATTTATATATATATATATATTTCTCTATAAGCTGATTAAGCTTGATTCGTTCTATATGTATCTATTTGTAGTTGTGTATCATCTGATTATATCTATACGTGTTCGTAATTGATATTGCTCTCCTCATTTGGTTTGTGATATTCTTTATTTACTCTATTAACTGATTAGATCTAGTATTATTAGGTTTTTTTTTGGATCTTCAGTGTATTCTGTTGACTGTTGATTCATTTCCTGTGCTGTGTTCCATATTATTGATTTTGATTTTTTGTTTTTGTTTTTTGAGAATGTATTATGGTTATTATCATTATTGGTTTTGATGCCTATATGATATACTTCCAAAAGGAGCTGTAGATGATAGAGGTGTCAAGTTAATGATCTTTGCTTGTCGTGAGCTGACCCCATTTTCAAATTATTGGGTTTTTATCCCCCTTTGATTCTAGGGTTTGATCTGGAACGAAATTGGATCCCAATCCAAGCTAGATTTGGCCTTGGTTAGATAACATAAGCCTACAATCTTTTTACATGTGTATATATGTTTGTACACGTAATGTGCAATTCTATATTTATATTTGTATGTGAAGTTATGGGCTGTGGATATGAAATTATAGTTTTTTTTTTTTTTTTTTTTTTTTAAATGGACTGAGTAGAATATTACTCTATTAGCTAATGTCTGTGATTTTTTTCTTTTTTCCTTCCTCCATACTTTACATATGTATATTAATACTATAGCATACACACAAATTCAAATTTTTTTTTGGTTTATGTGTTTGTCTTCATTTAGTTGATAGAAACCAAGAAGGGATCTTTCCCATGTAGCTAAAATGAATACTTTCAAACGAATTTAGGAAAAAAAAATTACTTTCAAACGAAAGGATTAAGGTTCACTGGGAAGAACCCATATGTTAGTCAATTAGAACGTTATTTGAATTGGTTTCTTTTGATGAACTTACATGGTTATTAGTTGCTTAGAGAGATTGCTTTTTGAATCCTTAAAACTTTACCTATGATTATTGTGAAAAGAAAAGCATCTTAATAAAATAGAATTTACCTTATTGTTTTAAAACATCTTACATATGAATTGGTAAAGTTGTGACTTCCAATAATTTTCTACATTTGTGCTTTTCTGATATTATTCAATTTTGATTGAAAATGAGGTTTGGAGAGTATCTTTCAGTTCAGCTCTTGTTCTTAAGCAAACAAGTAATTACAAACAAAAATTTAGTGGTGATATGTAGATTTATTAGAAAACTGGTTCAGCTGATGTGTAGTAGTGTAGTAGATGGGATAAGTTCCTATTTTCCTTTCTATTTTGGGTCTGCAGTGTGGTTCTTGTGTGACCCTACTTGTTGGTCTTAGTACTAGATCGAACATTCATTATGGTGATTTCAATTTGTTTAGTACACTTATAAAAAAACAAATAATAATAATAATTTTGTTTAGTACCTCCAAAAGGATTTCAAGGATTACAGTCATATTCTTCACTATTATTCTGCTACCATGGTAATGTTATTTATTTCAGGAAACTTAACATCACATGATTGATTATCCACAAAAATAAAATTGATTCATTTCTCGAAAACGAATTATCTTCTTGAAACTCAGCTGCTGGATGCTGTTAGTATTGGATCAAACAAGAAGAGGCATATGGAAACAATATTTATTTGAGGAAATTTAGCATTGCTTAATTCGTTATCCAGGAAAGTTAGCTACCTACCTCTTTGTGGGCATTTGGAGTGTAGAAATTTTGTACCTTAGTCAACAAAGTACTCGAGGAAGCTGTATATAGGATACATATATATGTATATGTATATATCTATGAAAAAAGTATGTGCGTACTTTCTGGAGAGAGAGAGTTGTGTAGTTATTTTTATGCGTGGATGCTAAATTCATATATTCGCTAAACGATGTAGGATGACGACAGAAGCACCCTTTCGAGCGAGAGAGAAGCTTATTGAGAAGCAAAAATATTTCCAAAGCGTCCACAAGCACACGTATCTGAAAGGTCCATATGATAAGCTTACCTCAGTTGCCATTCCTGTTGCTTTGGCAGGGGCTTCCTTGTTTTTGATTGTAAGTTCAATCTTCTGATTCTTCTTTAAAGCTTATTTTCTGGCCATATCTATATAGAATTAATTCTGATGCATCATTTCTGTTTAATGTTCTTGAACATGTTACCCATCCAGGGACGGGGAATCTATAATATGTCTCTTGGGATTGGAAAGAAAGAATGAAGATTATCTCTGCTCAAAGAGGATTCCTATGGCTGCTTAATTGCTAAAAACACATGCTTTTGAACTTGGATGTTATTTTCTAAGTTCCTACTTTTTTACCTCTAATAATTGCATAGTTGCAGACATGTTAATATGCAACATTGGTTTAACTTTGGACACAGAAAATACTTTCATTGGTGTTTTGCCTTAAATTCTAGTTGTGAGAAAATAATTTTGTGCATGACAAAATCTCTGATAGGCTTGAGTGCGTGCATATGGGCATCTTGTATGTTACTGAACTACTGTCATTGTAGATTTGATTTGCTTGTTGCATCTCTATTTGAGACTAATATTTTTCATAGAAGCTGTGTCGGGGCATTTCCTATAAAATCGCAGCATAGTCTAGCTTATGGTGAGAATATGTTTTCACTTCTTTGACCATTCAGTCCTTTTTTTTTTTTTTTTGGTCCCTTCCCCCTTGGCAAATAACTCCGACAATGCTCTTGGGGAGAGACTTGAACCACCACCCTCCACCTTCCACTTTGAAAGGAGAGAAGATAACATTAGGTCACATGCCTTTTAGTTCGGAAATGCTTTTAGAACCTAAAACATTTTGAGTTGTTGATTAATTCGAACTGTTCCTTAATGTAGAGGAATCCTGACGATTTGAATTATTTCCCTAGAACCCAATTTTGAAATGGAAATTTAATCTATTCGTTGCTTGCTTGGTGGCTACAATGCAACAGCAAAGCATTGCTCTGCAGTTTCCAGAACTTTTAAGTTCAATTCTTCTCGTAATCCGAGAAAACCTGGAACTTTATGTTCTGGTAGTATAAGAGGAGTGAATTTAGCGAGGAGATTTGCTGTGTTGCTTGGGGTGTTTCCTACTCTGAAGAAGCCATGCCATGGTGAAACATGGTTTAGGGGTACGAATACTGGTGTAATGCTTAACAAAACCGTTCGAAGTTCTGAAATTGCATGTGCTTAGCCTATAGAGAGTATTATATATATATCTGTGGTGTCTATAAAGATTTGTTAACAAGTTTGCTATGCTATTAGTGCTCTTTATTTAGAATAAACTACGTTAGATTTAGGAAGTCATGCATGCAGGTTTCGAATGTGAACGAGTTAATCCGGTTTAAAATAAGGGAAAATTACATATAAATGGAGTCAAAGTTCCATATTTACTTAGAGACTGAATCAAAGTTCTATATTTTTCTAAAATGGATTGTTGAGGTGGCACATGATTTTTTACTGTTTAGAAAATTATGGTGCCTAAAATGCCATTCCCTAACAAAAAAGTAGTACATTCAGTTCAAAAAAGTAGTACCTTCAGAGAAAAAGTAGTACATTCGCGGGTGTTTAAAAAATATGGTATCTGGACGCCAAAAAGTAGTACATTCGAAAAAAAAGTAGTACCTTCGCGGAAGGGTATTTTAGGCACCACAATTTCTAAACAGTAAAAAATCATGTGCCACCTCAGCAATTCATTTTAGAGAAATATGGAACTTTGACTCAGTTTCTAAGTAAATATGGAACTTTGATTCCATTTATATGTAATTTTTCCTAAAATAAAACCCTTTCTGATTTCTCTAACAACTCCAACTACAAGAAAGATTCGCAAATAGGTCTTCATCACCCTACCATCTTCTGTGTAAGTCGTTGCATAATCACAAAAAGAGGGATAGAAAGTTTCTGGAAGAATTTCATAAAATACTTGTATATTTAAAGCTTTGATCTACAAAGCCAACACTTCTTCCATGTTTTTATCCCTCGTGTTTGAGCAAAAAAAGGTTTAGTATAAAGAAGACAGTAAGCAAACTGGTGAGTGGTGATGTGTGTTTGGTACTGTGAATTCGTTTTTTTTTTTTAATTTATGAATTGCGGTTGAACTAGGGTTTCATAAAATAAAAAAAAATTAAAAATTAAAAAAAAAAAAAAAAAAAAGAAAGAAGAAGAAGAAGACACGCGAAAGATGATTAGGGTTTGGAAGTTATCGGGGAGATTTGCTCGAAATTTTTTTTTACCGATTAACCCATTAAAAATTAGCTCTAATCTATTTTTATTTTTTTAATATTACTTCTTTTTATAAGACACGTGTTAAAATTTTATTGAGCCACCTACCAGAAGAAAGATATTTTTTTGTTTTCCGAAGACAAGTATTGTCAAAAAGTAAAGGAGTACACACTCTTTTTTTCACTAATAAAGTTGTGTCAAAACTTAAGCTACCCCAACTGAAAATGGGAATGAGACAGAGTAAACCTGAAATTGAGTGGTACAATAGCCATAATTAGTTAACGTCATTGCATCCTAATTATAAATAATTAATAATTTAAAAAAATCATGAAAAACATTTTCTACTGCAAAGATCATTACTGTATTAGAGTAAAACAGAAATTGAGTGGTACAATGCCTTGAGTGACTGTTTTTTGTTTTTTTTTTTTTTCCAATACAAATTGAGTGGTACCATTTTGTGCTTTTAGTTAGGTTTAAACTCACTATAATTCTGAGTTTATTTCTCTGAAAATATTACAGTTATTGGGTTAGATGCGAGTTGATTTGTCAAATTAATACTTGTCGACCTACAAATCACCAAAAAAATTCATGATATATTCACATCCCGCCTAATTACCACCCTAATTTTTATGCAATAGAACATACCACATGACCCCCTCTCATGGATCTGGGATCAATACTAATATTGGTTTTTGTTATACAGAGTATAAGATTATGGTATAAAGTTGATTTTAGTAAGCTAGGTTTGTACTGGTAATTACAAAAGCACACCAAGAATCCAAGATGAGCGGGTAGAACAATGAACTGAAATTCCACATTTGACCTTTATACAACAATGTTAAAGAAACTATCGCCTATCAAATTTGAAGCTAATGGCACCAGAGAGCACACAAAAACATGATACAATGATGCAAGGGTAATTCTTCACCTAGGTTTGTACTAGTAATTACAATTTACAATGACCTCTTTTTTATTAATTATTCTTTTATTTTTTGGGCCGGACATAATTTTGTAATAGATTTCTCGTTTTTTTAGTTATCAATATTGGTCAACAAACATCCTTTATTTATATTGCAATATATATCATCAATTTGTCCTTGCAGTACTAATTCCATTCTCATTTTTGTTAAACCTATATTAAAAATAAAAGAATAAAAATAAGAAGCCACAACCAAAGATTAGATCTACCCACAAATACCCAAAAATAGTAATAATAATAATAATTTTAAAAAAATTCACCAAACATGACCTAAAAAGGAACTAAAAAAAACCTAAAAATAGAAATGTCTTGTCTCTAGCTCGATCTCTACTGAGTAAGAGAAGAGGCATTGCCAGTAGAGGCAGTAGAAGAAGAAGCAGAGTTCTTATGGTTATGCATCCACACTTTGAATACCTGTCTGCTCACTCCAACTCCTCTGCAGAACCCTTCAATCTCATCTTCTTGATCTTTTCTCTGCAGCTTCCATCCCAGTTTCTCCGCAAATGCTAGCATCTTCTCCTTCTGATCCGCCGTGAACTTCGACCTGAAACGCTTCTTCCCGTAGCTTCTCTCCGACTCCGGCAAATCCGACCCCGCCTGCCGCCCTCCGCCACCGCCACAGTCCATCATCATCATATCGCCAGCCATTTCTGGGTGGTCCTGATCATGATGATCACGGGCGCCGCTGCTGCAGCTCACTCCTCTAGGGGCGGCGTAGGACAGTTTGCGGTGGAAGTTGCGGTGGCAGCCGCATGCAGCGCATTGGAGGCCACCGGGAGAAGTGTCGTCCAGCGTGAACTCCCCGCAGCCGTCGGTGGCGTAGCTGCCGAGACTGGCCGCATGGTTTCTCAAACACTCTCTGTAGAGTGCATTTGAGTTGTCTCCTTCCATCTCTAGATCTCTCTCTTACACACACAATTGGAGTGTTGTTTTGTTAATTTGCAGTAGCATATAAATGGATGAAGGTAAGGAAGATGGTGAATTACAATATGATCCTAGCTGAGTCTGTGTATTTACATTGCCAATGAGGTATATTATAGCATATGGTTTTTACTATCTGCTAGAGTAGATCTAAAATGTATGGTTGATATTTACTCATGAAATAGATAGTAAAATGTATGGTTGATCTGAAATACATATATATCTTACCTCCTAGCTTTTCCGTTAGTGTATGCAATATTGCCAACACTAAGAATTTCATACACACGTCACCAAGATTTATTGTGGGCTTTTGTCAATCCCAGTCTCATTTGAATTGAGAGGGAGTCCTTGTGTCAGTATTTATTGCGTCGCAGGGCCTGGTATGCCGTACTGTACTCTTTCTATTAGAGGATACGAAGGGGGTCGCGTGTATGTAAGTCGGGAGAGGGTAAAATGTATGCAATTTTATTTCTCCATATAAAAAGGCTAGTTTACCTTTTGAACACGTGATTTTCATATCACAATAAAATAATTTAAATATTGTGCCAAGCCATTAGTATGTGTGTTATTTTAAAAATAAAAACAAAATAATACTCCGTATTAATTAACATTATTGGAAAAAGTGAAGGTACCTAAAAAAAAAAAAAAAGGAAGGAATAAAAAAAAAAAAAAAGAGAAGTGAGTCAGCTTGTCCTGGTTCATGAACACAAATATTCTGTGCAGTAAATGATGATAATGTTGTAGGCAATTTTGGGTGCTCGTAGGATAACATGCAAATAAAGTGAATCCCTACTTGTAAAAAATAAAACAAGTGATGGGCTTCATGGTCTCTTACACGAGGGGACCCTTCATGGGTATGGGCCTCAATAATGCACGTTGGGAATGAAAGAAAATAAGAAGAAGAAGAAGTCGAGAATTCCAATTTCATCACAAACAAAAACAGCAAAAGTGCTTTTGTACCTTTGCACATGTGCGAGATATTTTTACTGTGCAATGGGGAAGCCACATACTGTTGTGGTGACCTCAATTTGTCCATTTACATCCTTTTGAAAGTGGGATGAGTGGACACTAGTAATGGTCGGGATCCATAAAATGCGATAGAACAAGTGTTGCGCGTCTTAAAAGATTTCAACTCAGATCATTGATACGAATAAATTAAATGTTAAGATGATTGGATTAATTCGACTCGAGATTGAATTCGATTAGTTATTTATTTTCTTAATTTTGAATTTTTATTTTAACTAATTAAATGATGAAGAAATGCTATCAATCTAAGTCAATTTACGTACGAGTTATAATTCAAAATCATCCTATTTTTGTTATAAGAATACAGAATTTAGATTACACGTGGATTATATGAATTAAAATAGATCATTTTTATTTAGAATGCAACTTAAGTTCAAACCAGATATCTTGACACTAAACATAAATCACTATTTAAATTTATAGCATTGAAATCTATTCTTCTTTATTTGTTATTTATATGATTTTTTTTAGTAAGCAAATAAGAAGTCGAGCTACATTATCATTCAGTGTAAATAAATTGAATACGCAACAACGATACAATTACGATGTATTCTTAATTTAATGACGTTGTTTTGATTATAGATTTAGGGGGTGTCATGTCCCAACATTTGTTTGGATTGTAATCTTATGTGGGAATTGTGGAGGGCATGGTTTACGGGTTGAGGGTACAGTTGACATGTCGGCAGAATGTCGTCGGCTTTGGGGAACATTTGATCTGTTTCCTTTTCTGCAACTCAATGGTGTCCAGTCATAAAAGTGAGTGGTATCTGTTCACAATTCACATGCATTGCTATGCTACATGATAAGATATTCGGCCTTTTTGGTAGGACTAAATAATCTGTTTCCCTACACAATACTACAAAAACAGTGCCCTAATTTATCGTTTTTAGTAGGCCAACAGTATGTATCTATTTAGAACTCTTGATGTGGGAAAAAAAATCTTATCCCCAATAAGAATCTGACACATCAACAAATGAAGCCCACATCTTGGGCTTGGCACATACTAGGCCCAAAGGCAAGGTCCAATGCGGAGCAAGACATGCTTCTAGCCTGTGAAATAGGCCCATGAATAATTAACCCAGCAACCAGTCTCCGGGCCAAACAGTTGACCCATATACTTCTTTTATACGGTAGAAGTGGAGAAGGAAACAATATCGGTTATGGAAGGATATTGGCGACGAGTAACGCTAAGTCCAATCCTAATTCTTCTATAAATTTGTAAAAATAGAAGCATAAACCTTTAATAAAGATATGTGTAATTTCCGTCTATTCCTATTTCCATTACATTGATTCCTTTACCAAATGTGTTATGATTATTTTTTTAACTTTTTTAAGTTGACGAATTTTTGCATGTATAGTAAAATTATGAAAATGAGAAATAAATTGAAGGAAATAAAGAGCCCAAAAATTGGCATATTCAAAAATTGATAAGATTTATTGCCCTTTAAAAAAAAAAAAAGAAGTAAGAGCAGAAAAAAATAAAAATAAAAAATGCCTTTTTTTTAGAAAAACCATTTTCTTTTAGTGAGTTGATAGAGAGCTCACATTTTCCTTTTTTTTATTTTTTATTTTTTTTTTTTTTCCCTCTTCTTCTTCTTCTTCTTCTTCTTCTTCTTCTTAATTCATAGGTATATGAAGAAGCCTGTCAAATAGAGATTTTTTTTGGGCCATATTTCATTTTTAAATTAAACTTGCTCTTCCCTTCCAAAGTCCATTAGGAAATTAAGTGTTTGGGGGAGCTTTCAAACACAAAAAGTCCTTTAACTAAAAAGGCCTTAAGGAATTACTTTGTCGCAATGGACTTAGAATAGAAAAGCCGTTTGGTGAATGCGACTTTTCGAAGTAATTTTAGGTGATGTTTTGAGAAGTAGAAGCTCATTGAAATTATTCTTAGCATGCATATCCTTGAACACTCCTATCTCAAAGAAATCTCTTTTGATTCTAGCAAGAACATGTAAATTAAAAAAATAATAATAATTAAGAATGCAGGAGGCAACAATATTACTAAGATTGACATCCACGACAAAGAAATACCCTTGATTTCAGTTAGGGTGAGGATCAACAATTCAAGATTGAGATTCCTAATTTCATTTACAACTCCAAGATTTTGATTCATAGACTGTTCATGCCCTTCTCGCAAATTCATAATCATCCAATTTTGAAATTGCCAATTGAAATATCTGCCTTAGGTAAGGATGAGATTTCATTGTATTGAGAAAAAAGTGAAGGGAGAAGCCTATGAGAGATCGTGTAGTTAGGGGAAAACAAATTTGTAATTAATATTATATTTGAGGTTAATACGGACAGCATAAATCAACTTTGTTTAACAATTCATGAGAGTTGATTGCTACCCATGGTGGGTTGGGCGTGCACCATTCGACATCCAACCACTTTAATGCTTGTCCCATTTGGTCACAAGCTCACACTACTTTAATCCCTTAAAATGTGATCTTACTCTGGAAAGCTAATCTGAAAACAAGTTTTAGTTAGAGTAAACACAACTGGTTTTGTTTTGACTGAGAACTAGTTTTTCACTTACATAAAGTGCAACCGGTTGTGTTTAAAGTGCAACCGGTTGTACTTTCGCTTAAAGGTCAAAATATACCTGTTTTGACTTAAAGACAACTAGCTCTCAATTAAAATATAAATCTGGTGAATTAGCACTTGTTTCAATTCCAACCTCGAAACTCAAAAATAAAATAAATATTACAATTCGATTGGATACGTTTTGAAAATATATGTATCTATATTTTATATATGTGTGTGTGTGTATGGAAATTGTCATTACATGCAAGTATCCCGTGACCCTGATGCCATAACTTATCAATGCATGTAATTGGCAATTTTTTTTTCATGTGAATCAATTTCAATTGATCCACCTATCTTTTTAGTACCGAATTAAGGAGTATTGTTGATTTGCTTGAATAAGGCCATTGGGATTGGAGAATCAACTTCTCATTGTTGATTACAAGTTTTCCCCAGGTGATGTCCGTTTTGCCTAGGCTTCCCTGTCTTTTATATATTTTGTTTTCATGTATATTTTTCTTTTCTTTTCTTTTCTTTTCTTTTTTGTTTAACTTCCTTCTACTGTTCTATCGAGTCTTTGTCCCCCACTTACCCAACATAAAAAAAGAAGATCATTCAACTTGGGCCATCATATTGGGCCTCGGCCACATAAGGGCCCTAGGTGAAACATCAATTTGGTAGAATATAGGGAACTAAAAAGTTGTGTACTGGGCTCATAATTTACCCCCCAAAAAAAAACATGTTTATAATATTTTTTGGATGGTTAGAATGTTAGATGAAGTGCGAACTGTAGTTACCACTTACCAGCAATAGGCGAAGTGAAGTCAGAAGTGAGTGAAATACAGTATTTTTTAAAGTCTAATAATATATATATATATATATTGGGTGGACAATTGTGATAGGCGGGTCTAGTATTGAAAACTGCAGGCTCCTGTGCTTAGACGTTCGAACTCTTGACCATTTTGCTTAATTGACATGTATAAAAAAAAATTTGCTTAATGGAAATTCATAGATTTATTATATACCATATCTTGTAACATATGGTAGATCTACGGGCCATAAAATTTTGCACCAAAGTTCAAACTCTAACATTGTCGGACTTTAATCTTAAACTCACAAAGATTAATTTGGTTGCATTGTTTAACTTAATTAGTTTATTTTGCAGTTAATTAAGAAATCTTGTCTTGACCCTTAATTAAACACATGAAGAAGGGACACAATTCTAAAACTAAGGCACTAATTCGAACCTCCCAAACATAATATCACAAACATTAATTTGATTGCATTGTCTAATTTTAATTAGTTTATTTTGTAGTTAATTAAGAAATCTTGTCTTGACCCTTAATTAAAGACATGAAGAAGGGACACAATTTTAAATCCAAGGCTCTAATTCGACGCTCCCAGACATAATATCACAATGATTAATTTAATTACATTGTCTAACTTTAATTACACAAACATTTCTAGGATATAATTAGTTTGTTTTGCAGTTAATTAAATTTTTTTGTCTTGGCCCTTGATTAAACACATGAAGAAGGGACACAATGACTTGTCTGTTTTTAGCTTATCATTTTCCATTCATACAATTAACAATAGTATTTTATGATCCCCAATTGATACTTATATAGTATTCAGTCACTTTCAGTTGACTAAAGTGTTATATCAGTTGTAGTAAGTAACAACAACATATGACACGCCTGAATAGCTTTAGCTTCTTCAGACCTAGTTAAAACCACAAAACACACTAATGTCCCTGTCATATGCTTACAATTCCGCTTGATTTTGAACTGATAGATATTGGGTAACAACTGTGGTGTGACGCGATGTTTGAAAGTCGGACTCATTTAATTACATTTATATTAATCGAGAATGATATCATCTTAATATTTTATTTTATTTATTTCTTAACACAAAATAATTTGTTATGCTGATGTATGACAATTTCAGTGTTACGAAAAGAGATTTGTCGCATATCGAATTTAGATAAGAGAGTGATTGGGTATAAATGAATGGGTATGCAGTACGACTCAACAATTTAAACTTTTGAATAAATGAACAAGCGCTTATATGTTACACCTAATCTATAAATAAAATTACCTTTATTTTTGTTACATTTTATTATTGAAGTCATGTAAAAATTATACCACAATTTTTTTTTTTTTTTTTTTTTTTTTTTTTCAAAAGTAAAAGAAAATCCACACACCCAACATCGCTTGGAATTAGAGTTAGAGTCTAGATCACTATCAGTGTTGACTTGCATGATAAATGTTATTAAAGTTATGCAGTTGTCTTGAGCAATAATGCCACTTAAGTTACTTAAATTGAATTGCATTCAATGGTTTAACAAACAAAGTACATAAAATTCATTTCCATTCATACAAGCCAGTACTTGTGCAAAAAGACTAATATACTGTATATACATACATATACACACAAATATATAATATGTTCATAAAATTTTCTTCCTGGCATGTCGAATTTGGACTTTTTAATTTGAAAAAATGACAAATAATCTAAGTCATGACATTCGAGATATATATGTGTGTGTATTTAAGAGTAGGAGATTTGTGATTCTGACATCATCTCCTATTCACGTATGCATCAGAACCAAGTAAAACATAAAAAGAACTGTTATGAATATAAATATTATTTTAAATAATTAATTAAGTGGTATTACACAAACATATATATACTACGGACATTAATATTAGTTTGCCTTCATCTTTTCTTTCTTTCTTTTTTCCTTCCTTTAATGATAACAACGTGGATGGTGGTTCTCCTGTTACTTTCCATTGAATAAGCCTTGCATTAAAATCCATATATATAACACCAATCTCACCCAATCCCACTTAAAGGAAATTATGTCACTACCGTACATATATATCTATATCTATATATATATATATATGTATGTGTAATGGGTAAAACAATAAGAGGCTCCAAAGCAATCAATTCAATTCAGTAAAAGGATGAGCATTATAATTTGCTCTTGGCTAGGTTTTTTCAAGCCTATAAAAAGCATCTTCTCCTTGGTTATAACGCTAGCTTAATCATAGTGTCCTCATCATTACTCATGCATTAACCTAAATTTGTCACACCAAAGATTTTTTATTTCTCTTTTTTGAAAACACATCGCGGCCTAGCTATTTTTCTCTTGTCCTTTCCCTTCTCTTTTCAACTTCCTTTTTACTATTTCTATTCAACTTTGCTTTTCTTAGAGAGAAAAAATAAAAAGCTAGGAAGGAAATGCATGTGAAAAATGGCTTCCAATATGTTCTATTGTTTTACATGCCCACAAATTAAAATTGTATGTTTCTAAGCTTGTTAACAATTTGTACTTATATATATATATATTCACATAGGACTTAGCCCGACACAACCCGTGTAAGTACACCTATAAATATTGTTTACTTATAGAAGTTTGAAGCTGATATATAATACTTCATGAGACACTCCGTTCAAGTTTTCACCGATTAGGCCAACCCCGTTAAGTTATATTTTATTATTTTACATGATACAAAAATTATATGTCTTTAATTTTATGTTCCGCTCTAAAAATTCATTTATTTGTGAGGTCACATATAAGTTTATTTTGTCATATTCTAATATGGTTCAAATTGCATCATATATCATTCTAGAAAAATCTTAATAGGGTTTGTTCCAAAATTCCATTTATTTACTAAGTTACCCCCGCGAGTTCATTGTGACATATTATGGGAAAATTCATCATTTATCATTTTAAAAATCCTAACTATATCACTTTATGTGCATAAATTATTATGTAAGCTTTTTAATTTTGCTGGTCCATGGTTATGAAGCCAGTTGTTATATGTTTGGACTTTGGAGACTTTTATAGTTCTATATCTGACATGCCTTTAAGAAAAAGAAAAAAAATAATAATTAAAAGGTCTGTCCACACCATTGCTGAATTATCCAAACACAACTTGTTTGGTAATTTGATGCTATGCTCTACCATATTGTAAAAAGGGAATAAATAATTTATTACTATTATATTTTTTTAATGTAAAACGTTCTTTCTTTCTTTTTATTTGTTGGGTTGAAAATTCATAAATAATACTCTATGAAACATTTTAATATAAAGTTATAGACATTTTATAGTAGTATAAATGTAGGTCAATATATTGGCATATACACGTGTATCTCTATTAAACTTTATATGAATGTACATGTAATTGAATTCATATTCATCCAACTGAAAAAAAAAAAAAATCATCAAAAAACCAATTTTTTGAAAGAAAAACAACATATTTGGAAATGTGAGCTATTCAGAACACCGTAGTCTGTGAGTGTCACTTTCTTAAATATATAAATATATATAATAATAACATAGTGAATAGGTGTCTCTTTCTTGAAAAATAATACTAATAATATTAGCATAGAATATAGCGAAGTATTTATAATAGCTTTATTTCCTAGTATCTATACTTCTATAGTCTATACATGCATATATATGTTTGTGTAATACAGTATATATATATATACAGTATCTATGTATATCTAAGAGTAGTACATTATTAATGTATATCACATTTGTCTTCAACTTTTCTTCCGCCAAATTTGAGAGGAGAGGAAAGAAACAGTGACGATTCTCGTGATTGGCAGCAATATTTTCGACTTTATCTCTCTCTCTCTCTCTCCTCATTCAATTTCAACTTCAACCCAACACTTTCTTTCTCTCCCAAAAAATTTCTTTTCTTTCAATTTCCTTCGCTTATACAGTGACTAGTCTCTCTCTCTCTAAAAAAAACCCTAATTCTTCTAGCACACCTCTCTCTAAACTTCTTGTCGGATCATAGATTCGGCGGTTCTCATCTCCTGTCAGGCAAGTTCATATATCGGTTCTCTCTATATATATATGGATCATATGTTGTTTGTGCTGATTTGATTAAATTCTTGGTTTGTTTCGCGGTTGCGGTACTGTTTGAATATTCTGTTTTCTTGCTACTTTATGGTGTAGTTTGGGTTTTGTTTTCGGCATATGCATATTTTGATTCTTGATCTAAAACTAAAGTGTGAATTTGTTTGTGTAACTTTGGATATTTATTCGTTAATTTGTCGATTCACATTAAGTATAGTTTCATCAATATAATCTCTTCCTTGAAAAAAAATAAATAAATAAAATCAATAAAATGTCTTAAATGAACTTATATTTTCTTACTAATCTATGTTTTCAAGAAAATTTTATAATTGTTTGAATTATTTTGTACCTTTAAAATATGAATTTATACCTGAAATCAGTCATAAGTTGATGTCAAATAAATAATTTTTTAGCTGATATGAAATGATGGTTTGGGGTTGTGAATTTTTATTATATTTTCTTTTGAATGTCAGTGTTTTTAATGAGAAAAAATTAAATGAAACCAGATTTTTCTCCTTTATTTTGAAATTTGGATACGTAGTTGGTTATTGTTTTCTGTGACATCTACTGTATTAAACTTAATTGTTTTGAACAACGTGAATCGGAATAAAAAATCCCGATATAAGTAATTTATGAAGTGAGAAGAAACTGAATCATATGCTCGGCTGACAATTCAGAAACTGAAAATTTTAATCATAGCAAATTTACAAAAGCTATCGATAGGAAGAATGATTATAGAGTTATCGACTTTTTTGGTATTGAATATGAGTTGTGAGTATTTCCCTATGAAACTGTTGACTTGCATATTTTTCTGAAAGTCGGTGATTGTGGCAGGATTTGGAAGCTGCTGCATTATGAACACAGTAAAAGGGTTTTTACTAGCTCGTTAATCATTGTATTCAGTTTGATTAAAGAAAACTTAAGGGAATTTGTTGTGTTTTCTTAATTCCTGGGCTTCTTTATCTCCGAAATGCTTTGTCAGAAATGGGTTAGTGTAAACTTGTAGCAAACATCTACCTTCTGTAGTATTTGAATTAATCAAGGAAAGATGGGTACTTCGTCTGGTTGTTGTGAAATTGTTGAATCAATCGAAGAATTAGATGCTGAATCAAAACTTGATGAAAATGCTAGAAAGCATTGTCTGCTGAATCCTGGACAAAAGTATTCTATAGAGGAGGATATTAATCAGCTTTTTGAGGCAATAGATATCAGGATGTCTCGTAGGGGCCTGAGTCCACCAATTGGTAAAAACACTTCTTACAAGAGTGCTATGAAGAAACCAATTCGAGTAGGTTCATCTCAAGCATCAGGAATTGGAATTTCAGAGTCTGTGAGTTTAAAGCAGGCTCTAAGAGGATTATGTATCTCTCAGGCGTCAGAGATGGCTGCCATGAAGAGGTTGTCCAAACCACCAGGTTCAGCAAGGGTCTCAGAAGCTGGAACTATCAAAAAGTTGTACAGAGCAGTGGTAGTTGAGGCCAATGAGTCTGGTCATCCCATTAATGAAGGTAAAGGGAATTTGGTAGAAATCTCCCTTGTTCCTGGAACAAGCACATCAAATTTCCATGAAAAGCTGACTGAACAAGTGTCCAAGGTGGAACTATCAAACCAAACTGCTCAGTATTCTTCTCTTTCGGCGGATGTGTCTACACAAAAAGAAAGCATGAACAAACCACTGCCGCAGAGTGAAATTGTTCCTTTGCCAACCGGTGCTGAGAATGAAATTTCTGAGGCAGAGTTGGTGCAGAATAGAAAGCTGAGATCCACGCATTCTTCTTCTTGCACTCGTAGCGAGAAACTACCAATGGTAGATGAGATTGTTCCCACCTCGGTTGAAGTTCTGATCGAATCAGTAAGGCCAGACAAGGAGGAGAAAGACAAGTTGCAGTCTGTATCTCCTCCATCTAGCGTTGACACTGGCAGTAAGGTTATCAAGTCTGCAAGCCTACATTTAATCAAACCTGTTTTTGGGAATAAGAAATCTGTCAAGAAGAAATTGAAACAGGATCCAACTTCTGCTTCCAGCAGTTTTAATCAATCAAGTAATGGAGTCAATAATGATTTGGGTCCCAGTGCTAGTAATATGGGTTGCCAGACGACCAACTATACTCCAAAGAATGATAGTAAAGAAAAGGTGAAAGCATCTAGCATTGAAGTCTGTTCGACTGCTGTGGGTTCTGGTGCTAGCAAGATAGGTTGTAGTTCAGATTGTAGAAACATGAGTAAAATTGTAGTAACAGAAGCTGATGAAAGTTCAAGATCAAGAGAAAAAGGGGAGTTCTCTCTCAGCTCAAAAAGTAGCATTGGTGAATGTAGCAGTAGTACAAGCATTAGTGAGGAGAGCTCTCTAAGTGGGTCCAGCCGTAGTGGCTATAGGCCTCACATGTCAAAAGACTTGAGATGGGAAGCCATCCGTTGTGTTCAGAAGCAGCACGGAAGCTTAGGTTTGAGACATTTTAAGCTCCTCAAGAAACTTGGTAGCGGGGACATTGCAACTGTTTACCTTGCTGGGCTAAGTGGCACAAATTGCCTATTTGCTTTGAAAGTTATGGACAATGAGTTTTTGGCTACCAGGAAGAAATTGGCAAGGGCTCAAACTGAAAAGGAGATACTGCAGATGTTGGATCACCCATTTCTCCCGACACTATATGCCCATTTTACAACAAACAAATTTTTGTGTCTGGCTATGGAATATTGTCCAGGTGGAGATCTGCATGTGCTCCGGCAAAAGCAACCTGGCAAGAGTTTCTCTGAACAAGCAGCCAGGTAGGCATTTTCAAGTTGAGGTTCATTGCTGATAATTGATGCATATTCTGTCAAGTTAAAAATGACATTTACTTTACATGTGACCAGCTCAAAACTAATTTATGTCAACTAGGAAAAAAAAATATATGTCTGTGAAGTCTGAACCATGTCTGATTGAGTAATTGGTCTGTGCGTATCATGTGGTCTTGATTATCTACCTTTTAAACGCTTGCCCTTTCTTTTATGCTTAATCTTAATTAATCTATATAGCTGTAGGATGGCAATAAAAATATCTTACAAGATGACCGACATCCAAAATCTTTGTTAGAATTTCAGAATATCTTAAGAGATGATCCATGATATGTTATTCACTTTCTCTGTCCATGCATTTATAGCACGATGTGGATGAAGGTTTTCATTTACAAGCAAAAGTTTAAATCTTAAAACAGGATAATTTATAGGTTAATAGGTCAAGTGCTAAACCACAGCTCTATGTGGGATAAAAAGCTCTATCTTTAATTTTGGGATACTGAAGCTGGTACCTTTCTGGGGCCTAGTAAATCTCTGTGAATTAGTGGAATTAATTGGCCAATATTTAGTCTTTAAACGGTCCTAGTGGAATTAACCAGTGAAAGATTATGGAAGGCTGAACCTCAATTATGCAATGGTTAATTAGTAGATGGAATGAGTTGGCTAGCCCAGGAATGAGTTTCTGTCCTTTGTTTGCCATGTTGAATGTACTTGATTGCTTGTGTATTAGTCATCAGGGTGCCTGTTTCATACAACCTGACATCAGAAGTGACTGAATTGTCGATATGCATTTTTCTTCTTGTAAACAATTGGTAAGATGACGTTTCAAAGTAACATAGTATCTAGTATGAGAGTTGTTCACATTTTGAAATTTTGCAAGAGGTGTGTCTATGAGAACTGATCTGGAATGATGTCCTTGCCTTTGTCAGTTTTGTGTCCAACAGCATTTTGTTGGACACATCCTATTTATGCCATGTTGCATCTTGTTAGCACGAGTACTTGACACATTCTTAACCATCCATATTACATGTTATCTTTTTCTTTTCCCCAGTCGATAGGTAAAGTTTACTCACTCACACATGCCCACCACTCGGGCTTGAACCCTCAACCTCCCCTTCGTGAGGTTGAGGATATAACACTCAAGCCAATGCTCTGGTGGTCCTTTTACTGTTTTTTTTAATAGGATTGCAACATATTTATCTCCATAATTTTGCATCACACTATATTTCCTGGTCTAATTTAATGATTTACCTGTGCAGATTTTATGTTGCTGAAGTCCTCCTTGCATTGGAGTACCTACACATGCTTGGAGTAGTATACCGAGACTTAAAACCAGAGAACATCCTGGTCCGAGAAGATGGTCACATCATGCTATCAGATTTTGACTTGTCACTCAGATGCGCTGTCAGTCCAATAGTGCTCAAATCAGCATCACCTGTTGTTGAGCCATCGAAACCATCGAAAAAGACTTCAAGCCCATGCACAGAATCTAGCTGCATAGACCCTTTCTGCCTCCAACCCTCTTGGCATGTTCCATGCTTCACCCCTAAGCTTCTATCTGCCACGGCAAAAGCCCGAAAGTTAAAATCTGATCTAGCTGCCCAGGTCAGCCCACTGCCCCAGCTTGTAGCAGAGCCAACCAGTGCCCGGTCCAACTCGTTTGTTGGAACTCATGAATATCTGGCTCCAGAGATCATAAAAGGAGAGGGCCATGGGAGTGCTGTCGATTGGTGGACATTCGGAATCTTTCTGTACGAGTTAATTTACGGTAAGACACCCTTTAAGGGCCCTGGAAATGAGGACACGTTAGCCAATGTTGTTTCCCATAGTCTCAAGTTCCCCGAAAGTCCTATAGTTAGTTTTCATGCCAGAGATCTGATCAGAGGGCTATTAGCGAAGGAGCCTGAGAATCGGTTAGGTTCTGTGAAAGGAGCAGCTGAGATCAAACAGCACTCATTCTTTGAGGGCCTCAACTGGGCTTTGATACGATGTGCAATACCACCGGAGCTGCCTAAATTCTGTGATTTTGGGAATGTCGTCACTTCAGACATGTATTTGCAGAATAAGGAGAGCACCAAATGTCAGAAGGAAAGTAAAATTACGGAAGAGCATTTAGAGTTTGATATGTTTTAGCGAGTAATATGATGATGAGCGAAAGGAAAGTGTTACATAGTGGTTTTCCTTTATAACATGAGGTTTCTTATCCTTGTTGTAATTGATATATATAGCATATAGTAGTATACATGTAATTTGGAGAATTACTGGCAAGTTGTTGAGCTTGTTATATCAAATACGAAATACTTACCCTGTGACTCGGAAGAGAGATGAGTGGAGGAGCTTGGTCCTCTATAAGCATTGTAGTAATATGAGGCTGTTTGGACAAAAAGATTAGAGGTATGTGAACACTCGTTCATCAGACACTGCTAAGAAGTGGTGCGTGAAACTGTGAACACAGTCAAATGCAAGATTGAATTAAAAAAGACAAAACAAACCAATAACATTATTATTTATTACAATGATCCATTAAATTAATCTGCAATGTACATAATACCATTACAATTATAAAAATAAAAATAAAAATCTCCACAAACAGAAACAAAAGGGCATTAACTAATATTGCTGAGGTTTTTTTTTATATAATAATGCATCATCTTTACAGCAACTGAAATCTATTTGACACGTGATTGCACCCGTGTATAATTCTACAATTTCTTTTTCTTTTTTGTCCAATTTTTTTTTTTTTTTTCGGGTAGGAAACTCTCGCATAAAACTCTTTCCAATAACATCTAGCTGACTGCAATTTAAAATGGGGAATCACGATCTGTTATACAAAGTCATATTATGTAGCTCTGTTTCGATTCTTTCCGGGTGCGTTTCCTTCTTGGGTTGGCAGTCAACATGCAAGAAAAAGCATTTACCAGGTCTGAATCCTCTACATTTACCAGGATCTTCGCCGCTTCTGGATTGGCAAGGAGAAGCTTTGCCACTAGATATCCTGCAATTGACCATGTTTGAAAGAGATGTGCCTGTTTTCCAATAAATCTTGCTCGCTTGGTGTCGTAATACTCGGGCCATTTGTCTCTAGCTATGTATCTCTCAGCAACCTTGACAGCATTTTCAGCAATCTCCGGTCGATTCATCTTTATGCTGGCTACAGCTAGCTGAAACAAGCATGTAATTATATTATTAACATCAACTCCCCCAGATAGCGTGAAATGCTAACCAACAACAGGTATACCATGCTAAACAACAATACATTCATATTTCGTGTGTATACAACTACTACCAAAATACATCATATATTAAAAAAATTGCAACATCCAACCATATGGAAAATGCTCTACCACAATCATGTGGGTGATTTATTTGTCTGCCTAGATGCTGGATTGAGTAGAGATCTCAGACTACTTAATTTGCGTTAGCTCGTGGGCCCTGGTCTTGATTCATTACAACCCCTTGAGTTCTCCTGTGACTTTAAATAAAATTCTGACAGGTTGAAAATAATTGAACGTAAGGAGGGTAGAAAGAAATAACTACTATTTAACATCAATTCCGTTCCTCGCTGCATCACTATCAACTATTTACCAGACTATGGCGTCATGGATCATGGCTGCCAGATGTCAACTAGGCAACCCCTTTAAATACCTTTTATTTGCATTACATGCTATTACACTAAGGGTTTCAAAATACTTGAAACGTACATTTGCTTCACGAAGTCTAGTCAAACACTGAAAAGCATAAAAGGAGCGCAACCTGACATGTTTTCTCACAGAACCTCTCCCTGAGCCTATCATCTCTTTTCCTATTAGTCTCATTGTTGACTACCTACTCTGAAGTAACAAAACCAATAAAGTCCAAACTGAGTGGAAAAGGAAGCCACATTGGCTCCCAAACATGTTCCTGAAAAAATGCACTGGGTTTCAGTTTGCTGTCTATCTGTAGGTCCTCAATCACTATGGTGGTAACTGTAGCATACTGATGCGGCATGGTCTCAATAAGATCATTATCGGCAAGATAATCATAAACATCCAGGAATCAATTTGACCAGATAATTTAAGAAACTGCAATTTTTTACAACTTGCGAACCTGTAATTTTTAGAACTTGCGAAACAAAATTGTATCACACTAAAAACAATGACAAGATAATTTAAGAACATGTAATTTTTTAGAACTTGCGAACCTGTAATTTTTAGAACTTGCGAAACAAAAATGTATCACACTAAAAACAATGAGAACTAAAAGGCACAAAACTAATTTGTAAGTTTGACCGCATACAGTTTATGCTTTAATATGCTTTGTTTGAGAATGATTATAGTGCATTTATTTCCCACCCACCCCCCAAAACCCCACCTGTAATATGCTTTATGTATACTTTCAATTTTTACTCTGTCAGAACAAAAGTTGGTGATGGTACAATAGGCAAATAGGAGAAGCAGTGAAAGCATTTAAGAACAATTAAGGCAAACTACTAAACCAAATTTGTACATTTGACAGCACACTTCCGCATTTCCACTGCATGAGCACCATTTGCACATCACCTGAGCTACACCTCACCCGCGGAGGGAAAATTTGGAAATCACCCAAGGTCCCAAGCTACATCTCACAAGGAGGGCCAATTGCTTATAATTTTTCTATTTGATTTTTCCATTTTTGCGATAAACCAGAAAATTATATAGATAGAATGAGGAGGAAGCACAATGCAAGAAGAATGAAGAATCCATTCTAAAACAGAACAAATATTAAGGATATACAATAGAAGGCCCAACTCCATACAAACAGAATGAGAACTAACCCAACCCAACCCCTGGGAAATTAAACCTTGAATCTCAAAAAATATGAAACTAACCTGCCAGAGCAAAGTTGGCCAGGAACCCCCATTGTGGTAAGACCAAGGCCTGCATCAGAAAGCAAGGGAGAAACGTGATGTATAAAAAAAGATGCCAAAATTAAGAAACGAAAGAACATCATATCCATTAGGATAAAGATATTACGTGTTCTTGGGATCACTGCCTGTAATAATTCGCCATTCTTGACCTTCAAGAGCAGGATAACATATCTTCAATGGCATATCAGCCACTAAATCTGCCCATTTTGCTTCAAATAGATCCAATATTGCATGCGACTGATCCACTGTTGCAAGACTGCTTACAATGGACCATAAGTTTCCGAGAGAAAAGAAACGAAAATCCATGTGAGCAGGCTGCAGGTTTCCAATCAAATAGCCTCCCTTATTGGGCATCCATTCCACCAGCCAAGGAGGAATCTGATCTGGGTAAATATTGAACTTGTTGACTGCATCATATGAGTATTCCTCTGTCTTATAACGGTATATTTCGTTGAGCTTTCTCATGTCAGTCCAGTAATACTCCCTGATATGGAATGACAGTGAAACCAGACGACTGTTGAGTGCTCTGATTAGCTCAGTCGACCCATCCTCAGGAGCAAGCATCTCACGTGCACAAAGTAGTGCTGAATAGAACAACGCCTGCAGGAACAAGCAATATTGCATTTATATATGATAAAAGATGCCAAGGAACATGAGTAACAAGCTTCAACATTTTCCAGAACAACATTGAAGCATGGATTTAACCTAAATATCACATCCCTTTTCTATTTAATACTTTCTTGTAATTCTACATTCCTATTATAATTTAGATGAATTTTTCACGGCCTTCTAGCAAATGCTAAAACAAGTTCCACCAATATGCTTCAGATTGAACATCTGGAGTGCATGACAGCTAGACAACTTTAATGGTGATTGTGTTTCTTGTTTCCATTTCTCCATTTTGTTGGAAAATGTAGTGTTATTTCAAAATTACCATGGACATTCTCAGAAAAGTTGCCTTGTTGCCTCTCTAAAGCTCCTTGCAAAGCGGCTTTCATAGGGTGATCAGCGTCAAATCGGAAGATCACTATTGACAATTAGAGATGTAATGGTGAAATTATTCCCAATTGGTTGTTGCATGTACAAGGAGAATGGGTAATCAGTGAAAAACCTGCATGTTCATTGCAAGGTGACTAGGAAGTGCAGTCCTTTGTCTTGCTACTGTTTGAGTTGCTAGGATGTTTTCAAGGATAGAGAGGAAGAACATGAATAAAAGGAGGAAGACGTGAGATGAGTTCCTCTCTGTCTCATGAGTGCATTTGGGACAAACAAAATTGTTGACAATTTGATGAGGTGTAAGCGTGCAGCCTATTCATAAGCTGAAGTGTAGATTTTTTAGTTTGTTAAGTAGTTGGGTTATAGAGGAGGAAAATCCTACTAGAGAGAAAATTTTGGATTATATAGAGAATTTAAATTTTCTTTTACTGTACATACAGGTACATTGGTTGCACCACTTTGCCACAATATTAAGTATATATCCTAGATAAAGCTTAGGATGACACCACCTTCATGCAGTTTAATCAGTCGAAAGAGGTTTTATTTACATATATAGTCCTGAATGATCGCAGTCTCCTGACAGAAAAAAAAAATGGAATTTCATGCAAAGTGACTAGAATAAGCCATACAAGTCAATGATGTGGTACATATGTACAAGTTGCAAGAAATTCCATGTTGCAATGCAGATGAAATATCCTAGAGACAAAAGATTAAAATCTACCTGAATTTCCAGGGGGTGGCCATGAATTCCCATGCGGCGATCTATCATGCAAGAACCATCAGTCACCAACAAGGTCGGAAACATATCAAAACCATCAGCAAGACATAGCTTTAAGATCATCTTAATTCCAGTTTGCACATCAACTCTCTCCTGGACAGAAAGATCTCCGGAACATTTCCCATATGCCCGCAACAATATAATCCACCACAATCCTGAAACTCAACTGATGTCATGATTATTCATAAAACCAAATTTACTTTTACAGAAGAGAACTTCTAGAGCGGAATGATTAACTTGCCAGAATCAACTGGTGCAACACGACCAATAGCTGCTTCACCAAAGTCGGGATCTAAAACATCTTCAGTTGCGGAATCATCACCATCAAGTGGAACAGTGCGCACCTTGAAACTGGCAGGCATCAGTCCTTGACCAGGACTATGGCAATCCATGGTCTTCTCCCAGCTCTGTGAACATACAAAGAGAGAATTGCTAAATGAAAGTAAACTAATAAAGTTAAGAAGAAGTAGATTCAGAAAGGCAATGATGCTAAAAAGCAAGATTATTGCTTCCAAGGAGCCTTGCATGAGCAAAATTTTCATTATTCCGTAACATGTTCAAAAGGGATTGAAGACTATAAAAAGGCCTCAACAAAACCATGCAGTAAAAAATTGCATGTGAAATATCATTCTGAACACTGATCTAATCATGAAAGAAAATCACAAAAATATTGAAGACGGAAATCTCTATTATGCCATTGATCTATCTTCAAGTGGTGGTATTACTTATAATAGACTATTTGGCTTTTTCTTGCATTAAGTGTATAAATTTTATAATTCCCTAAAAAAAGTCTTTATCTGAAAGTTAAGAGTGAAATTTGTTGAGGTTATTGTAATATATACTGAAGTAAACCTCCAAGAGAGGATATCTAGTGATCCTCAAAGAGCGGGTTACTGCATAAGGACCAAAGAACCATTAAGCTATTGGTCTGTGGTAAGGGAGAAGCACCAAGAGACCTTCTCTGAGAGAGGTCAGGATTCTAAACTCAGCATTTGACTAAAGAGTTTCGGATACAAGCTTTATAATTTATGTAAATTTTTGGATAACTTCTGAGCCTTAAATGACAGAACAAAATTAAACCCAATATATAGAATCTCTTCATACCCGCATGAGATATCAGAGAACTAGTTAATGGTAGCTCATCATGCTAGCAGCAGAGAAGTTGTGATGAATACCTTCTATGGTCTTTATCTGCTTCAAACTTCATATTTCTTTCTTCTTCTTCTTCTTTTTTTTTTCTCTTCCATCAAGGAAAGTATCAAAAAAACATATATGTATACATAATTTTTCTATATAATTGTATTCTTGTCATCGTCGTCGTCATCATCATCATCCTTGCGAATGGATTCTCTCTCTCCAATCTTTCTATTATATGTCCTTTCACCTACTATATTTAACTTTTTAAAGCCATGTATAATAGCCTTGTTCTATGTTAAATTTGGTCGCCCTCTCCGTCTCTTACCTTCTATTACAACTAGCCTTCCTCGTTTAACCGGTGCATCTCTAGGTCTCCGATGTATGTGTCCAAACCATCTAAGTCTAGTCTCTAATTTTATCACCAATGGATGCTACACCTAATTTTTCTCTCTCTCTGTCTCTCATTAGTGACCCTATCTTTGATTCTTTTCTACTTGCTCCACTCTATACCTTAACATTCTCATTTTTACTACATGAATGCGTTGAACCCGTTTCTTTTTTAGGGCTCAAAATTCCGCTCCATATAACATAGATGGTCTAATAACGATCCTACACAATTTTCCTTTTAGTCTATGTGTTATTCTTTTATCTGAAAAAATTCCACTAGCTTGTCTCTATTTTGTCCATCCCACTCCAATTCTACCAGTTTTATCACTAGCTATCTCTCCATCCTTTTGTGTTATCGATCCTAGGTAGCGAAAGTGGTTGTCATGTCATACATGTGCCATGGCATCATACATGTACTAGACTGAGAACCATCCTAGGTTCTCAATCCTAGGATGCTTTTACCAATGTTCTAAGAATGTTAGACATGACTCCTATAAGCGTCAGCACATAGTGTTTGAGAACCGTCCTGCTGTCCAGGATCGTGAAATTATTTCTAGCTACAAACATATCTGAGGACTCTTTGACACATATCTACAAGTGTCTGAGAAGTGCCACTCTTAGACACGTATTCAACACAATTCCTTTATAGAAGTGTCCTTGTAATTTAGGATTGAGAACATTCATTAATTTCACCCATTTAGAGCTTCAACTTATATTCATCAACACTATTAAATGAAGAATCTGGCAAATCTTGGAATAAAGCCTTCTTTTAAGCGAGTGAGAGTAGTATATCTAAATAAATTCTATAAAGAAGATAACTCTATATGGAGGAAAACTAAAAAGGTTGCGCAGAACTATAACATGCTCCATTTTTCTATACATCATATAATCATTTCGAGATTGGGCAGGGTGGTGGCAAGAACAGAACGCTGAATGGCAGGGTGGTGCAAGAACAGTTGATTTTCAAGCACAAAAATAAGGCGAGATAAAATGGCTTCATGGAAGCAAATTATATCTAATCCGGAATCGATTCATAGCCTCTCTCATTATAAGCAGGTTAGATTTGCCAATTATCATAAAAGAATAATTATTATAAAACTTGATGAACATATGCTCAATGATGGAAATTAGTAAAAGTAATTGCTACATGAAAAAGTAGAGAAGAGATTACATTACCTGCAACTGAAGGGTATAAAGGATGAAATTTCTTACAATATCATACTCTCCCTTCAAAAGGAAAGCTATCCCAGAAGGTATAAAGTCACGGATGAAAACTTGATCATAGTTCAGAATACTGGAATCAGAAGGATCATTAGCAGCAATAGTTCCAATAGGATTGCCACAGTAATAAACAATGGATTCCCGTAACAGATTCCATGCTTCATCCTCGATGGAATCAACATTGACTCTTTGTAGTTTAATGGATGCAAGGTTTTCATTTTCTTTTTTCAACCGTCGAACACCCTCAAGCTTTTGAACGTTTCGAACATCAGCTGCGCCATTAACCAAACTTCCATTTCCATCCTCCGCAATTACCTCACTGACACTACCAGCCTGTTGGCACCTGCATCTCACAGACTCCAGTCGGCCATTTACAGTATTTTCATGTGAAACACTATCTATAGAATGAAGAGCCGAGATCCTCTTCATTTTTATTGACATTTTCGAACAATTTAACCGTTTCATCAACATGGAACCTCTTTCCGTTCTACTACTTTTCCGGCATTTAAAAGAAACCAATGAGTTTGATGTCTCAAGACATGGATGGGAATGAAATTGATAAGGCACAGTCCCTGATAGAACCTGAAGAACTGCTTCCGAAGTAGCCATCGACACAACTAATCGGATCAAGACTATGCTTTCAACACAATGTATTCGAGGATGACCACTTGATTTGCTTGTTGTGCCTACACAAAAGCACAACAAATTGAAGTACACGAAGTTTTGAACTTGTATACAAAATAAAAGCCCCATAAATCAAAATAGTGAAGTTCCCACTGAATATATGCGTGCATAGGTGGAAATTGGAAACCAATAATTCAAAATATACTGTTTCACAATGATTGATAAAACCTTATATCACATAAGATTAAATTAACATTGAAATGATACAAAACTGAACCAAAAAATAAAACGTAAATACAACACAAAACCACATGAGTCAAAGTAATAAAGCTTTATATGGACACAAATGAACTGAACAATATAAAGTCATAATACTTGAAGCAAATATAAACAAATTATCCAGAATTCCAAAAAAAATTCTCAAGAAAATGGTAACTCAACAATCCAACTCTATGTTTCCCCTAATTAAACAAGATTTAAATATAAAATTGATTGTATTATCCTGTGTTTTCCATGGAAACCAGGTTTCTGAGCAGAATCAGAATCAGAATCAGAATCAGAATCAAAATTTTCCGCTTGGATATCGAGAAAATTAAAGATGATTATTCATTCACCTGATTCGTCTGTTTTTGCGTATTTGCTCGGGAAAATATAAGGCGTTCGGAACTGATGTTCAGTCAAAGTTTTGGTCGTGCCTTTGTAGGTTACTTACATGAGCTCACCGGTTCTCTGTGAAACGAAGACACCTTTAATACCTTACTCGGATATTTGTAAAAAAGAAAAGAAAATGATTATTCAACCCAAATATTTTAGGAACCAACCGAGGGTTCTAATCCTCGCATATGTTCAAGCTGGTCCCACTTAAATATATCTTGAACATTCACTCGTTTTGATATACGTTTAAATTTATTTCGTCATATTTTAATTTTAAAATATAATAATTTATATGTGTTTTTTTATTATTTTTTTTTTTTGTAAATATATTATGTTACTTTTCATGAATAAATTGTATTCTCTTCTTACAAACAAAAGAACCAAGCTTAAATAAATTGAAGTTCAAATGGACTTGATTCATTTGCAATCATCAATAAACTGTATTCGCCCTAATTGGTGTTTATAGCTCCCAAATATTTACCATTCTGTATTGAATATTGTTTTAGCTACCTTTCTCTGCTTTTCATTTCCATCATGTTTATTGAAGGCATGAGAAGGAATACCTGGTTTTAAGGATTTCATTCAAGAGACTGACACAAAAGGATTAAGAGTTTGGTGCCTGAAAGGATTCAAATACAGTAATCAAAGAAAAATAAAAACTAGGATGTCTGAAATTTCACACCTGGAGTTTCAAATAGATGACCTCTAAGTCGCCAATACACAAATGTTATATTCGTTTGTATGGAGTCTTGAAATTGGAATTGAAGAAAATTGTTTAAATTCCATTTTCTAGGCATCAATTCCATGCAATCGAACACATCATTGAATGTAACTTTTTTCACTCCTTTATTAAGCTTTGCCATTTTCCGAAAAGAACAAGTCCACAGCATTAAAAATAGAGAGTCAAATACTTGAGCAGCTATACTTAGTTCAAGATACACTTGATATATTAACAAACCCCAAGTAAGGGAGGGGTGGGAACCAAAAAAAAAAAAGAAAGAAGAAAAACAAAAAATTCTTCTAACAATATGATGTGTTAGTCACAGTAGGAAACTATTACATCTGCCCCCCATGTAACCTAAAAACAAATCTTCCCGAAAAATAGTTTTACAAATCATCCACATCATTATCATTATGATCGCCCTCTTCACAATATTCATCTTCAAATTCTTCCCAAGGTTAATTTTATACGTCATCCATGTTATGATCGTTGTCGTTGTCTCCTTCGTAATACTCATCATCGCGCTGGATTTGCTTGTCTTGTGTATGTTCTGGAAAAACAGTTTGGTAGAATTGAAAATAAGCAGAATATATTGCAAGCAACTCCCCCCAAAAAAAGGAAGAAGAAGTGGTAAGAACAGTGGGAAAGTGTGCGCTGTGTTTGCAGGTTTGTAAATTCAGGAATTTTCTTACGATCTACGCGCTCATCAGGATTCTGCTCGTCTTCGTCAAAATCAGGAATGTAAAAATCTGGTGGAACCTACAACAAAAACTTAGTTCTCAGTCCACACCATATCGTCAACATATTCCCTAGCCTATGATCAAATTACGTCGTCAACTTCCAGTCTTGAACCAAATATTTTTAATTATACAATGAGACATTTTTAGGATTTCAACATATTACATCATTTAAAATTGGCAATGGATCTTTGTTAACTATGAAAATATATTTAATCGGCCATGAATGCATCTAAGATACTGCTTAGTGAATCTAGACACAACCGAAAACCAAATGGAATTATTTTATTTCCATAGAACATCAGGATTCAGGAAACCAGTCAAGCAGATTCTATTTTGAGCAATGAAAAATGAGAGAAGTTATTATGCATGGATGGTTAGAACTTAGAACCAAAGCAGAATGCAGATTTATCAGTTGCCATGCAACGGCAATGCAAATGCAACCTCTAAACTGCATTTTCTTCAATTCTCAAGTATAAAATATAATTAAGATGACCTACCAATAGCAAGGGCTGGAAAGCAAAATTTCAGGAGTAACAATGCCTAGAAAATAACTTTTCTTGATAAAATAGCTTATCAAAATGTTTTTACGGTAGGGCGACTCTTTCCATGCTACTCACCTCTTGCATCTGTACACTCGGAGCATGTTGGATGCAACGAAGGTTTTCCATCACTTGCATTTTGATTGTACCAATGTAAGATTTGCTATTTAAGTTCTCCTGTTTGATCAGCAAAACCGAAATGACAATTCATAAGGGTATTAGGGTTTAAGATCTTTGTAGCTCAATTTAAACCTAACAAAACAATCAGTGAAATTAAATAGAACCACCCAAGTTAACATGCTCTGATTGAATTTCTCTTATGTAATCTAAACCCAACTGTATTATATAAGTATATAGCATCAAGCCATAAAATTGGCACGTGATATTTGGATCACTGAATGAATAAACAAAGCATAAGTACATGATGAAGAAGGAGATAACATACTATGTTCCCATTTGGAATCTTCAATGAATAATCTGGGGCAAAGTATTTAATATACTCATTTTCTGGAATCTCTGTACATAAACAAGAGAAAGATTTCAAATTATATGTCAATTATATGCAGAACTAATGAAGCATTGCACTCCAAAAATAACAAAAAGCAGGAGGTCCAGAATGTGCATCAAAATCCAGCATTTCCTAAAGCAGAACTAAGATATTCTTGTATTTTAAGCAGCCATACTCATGGAAAATCATCAACTGAAGAAATTCCAAGAAGTTCAAAAAACATAAATACCCTTGTTGGCAATAGAAAAGAGGAGCACGATGCAAAACCTGAACAGGAAGAGATATGGTTGCGCATAGACATACGCAACTTGCTGATTGTTGGTTTGATCAGTATAAACAATTGAGAAAACACATGGACAAGTAAAGGTAATCTCTCTTATGAATAAGTAACTAAATCAATAGGTAATATCAATGACGAAATAAATGATACACATAATACTACCCAAAGCAAGCAGACAAATTATGAGCCCCCAGTCGATGCTCAGGGGTTGGTTTTGACAGCAGTGGTGAGTTTTTTCGAAGGCATCAGAGATGCATTGATGGCCGAACCTTCAGTCGCTAGGACGCAATGCAATGGACGGTGGAATGGGGCTCTGTTAGTGTGGTGATGGAAGGAGAGGGGTGGGGGGGCATTGAGCGCGACTGGCGGTTCCACCACTCTGGTGTCAATTGGTGTGATCAGGGATGATGTGTATTCTGTGGTGCAGCAGTATCAATCTTTGTGGTTGGTGTGGTCTCCTCGTGAAGGGAATAGAGCATCACATATTCTATGTCAGTGGGCTTTGAGGAGGAAAGCTACTCTTGTGTTAGATAATGGTTATCCTCCTGTGTTGGAAGAGGTGATTTATTCTGAGTGTTTTTCTTGACTTTATTAATGATAATTACTTGCTTTTGGTAATAAATTGTGAACCCCCAGTCAAGCTATCTCAATTCTCAACTAGCTAACATGTATGCTGATAAAATAAGAGTTGGTAAATGTTCTCCAACATTTTCAGAAAGATTTCAGATCTAAACAGAGTTGTTTTTCTTACAACGGCCAGCAAGAAGGAATTCAAGCTTGGCTAGCCCATTTTTCAGTTTTTTTCCAGAAAGCACTTAATAGTATGGTCTTGAACAACCCCCAACAGCTATCAAATGACTCAAAAGTTTCACAACATTGTTCCTAATCAAGTGAAAAAAATAATAATAATAAAAATAAATAAAAATCAATTCTAGTCTCTTTATTCTGAAAACGAAATTAATACATCAAATTAACTCCAAACTGTAGAGTATGTAGAAACCCAAAAAAATGACAGAAATAACTATAAAAAAAAAATAAAAAAAAAAAACAGAGAGAGAGAACACAAGTGCCCAGGACGCTGAGCAAGAAAAGGAGAGCATGTCAAATTTGAAATTACCAAACGTCCAGAGTGCCTATGCAATATGTAAATACATACATGTTCATGTACATAGTACATGCATATATTATTTATAATATATAAAATACATAATACGTAGATAATATGTGCCTATGCATAATATAATGTTAGATAATATGTAGCATGATGCAACTGTCATAAGTAATAAAAGTAGAACCAAATTTTGGCAGCCAAACTAATGTGATTACCTGACCAAAATAAGAAAAAAAAATGTGGTTAGTGGTTGCTGACTTTTCTAACATTTAGATGGTCTTGGCTTCAAGTCCTCTACCATAATGAGAAAGAAAGAATCAGGTGCATGCTGATCCATCTTAAAACATAGTCAAAGTCAGATAAAAACCCAAAATGCACAACCTCCTATTGGACCAATGCTGATCTGCACTCTCAAAATTACTGATTTATGGATAGGCCACAATTGATCTGTGGATTGGCCATGAATCCAAACTCAATCCGCAAATCAACAGATAGAGAAGAAGAGCATGGGTTACTTTAGGTGGATTAAGTGATTCTCGAACGACCCTCCACCACACTAGCAATCACCATTTCCTCCATCAACCTCTTCTTACCTTGAAAACACCTTCAGGTGCAGAAATTATCACAAATATTACATATAGCACCAAAATACACACACACACACACACTAGCAGAGGGGATTCTATCATTTGTGATATATCGTTTTTATTGAATAATAATCCCAAAACAAAGAATGAATCCATCGCAACATCCCACGAGCATCCAAAAGCTACATCATCACGAGCCCAAATTACATATCAAAGAATAATATATCATGCCAAATTTATAAGTACTTTCATCAGAGTTTAATTTCATACAAAACAAGTATTAAAATAGGAAAAAAATATCAGCATACCATTGGGAAGCTCTGTATCCAAAAGAGCTCCTGTTTCAAGAGTCCAACATCGAGCAACATTCTCTTTGGTGTAACCCCCGCCTCCAGTTACCTGCAGGAATAAATCCATCTTTGTATGCCAAATTCATAGACACTAATATCAAAGGCAGAAGTTTTTAATCCTAAACCTACCAGTAATGGCAAGTTAAATTTCTTCACAAACCTAACACATTCAGCATGCCCTGTAAGACGATTCGCAATGAAACCACCAATTAGCTCAATAGATGTTAGAAATGATCATGAAGACAAGCAACACACAGTACAATATTTGACAATAATCTAAAGGAGGGAAAAAAAAAAAAAACTGTTTACAAGTAAATTAGCACCATCAATGGAGAGGTTGAAGCAGCCTAAGCGGTCACCAGCAAGCGAATCTGCCCCACATTGGAGAACTATCACGCCAGGTATATATGTTTCAACAACTTTGGCAATAATCTACAAAAATGGACGCATCGCACCAAAAGTCACACTTGACACTGTCAAATCATAACAAAGACGTATTAATGCTAAATTTATAATTTTAATCAAAGCTTACTGTTTTGAAGAGTCGAGTAAAGCTGCCGTCATCTATTCCATCCTTGAGTGGGACGTTTATAGCATAAAATTTTCCTTCTCGTTCTCCTATTTCCTTCAGAACAAATTAGATCTATCACTCTCAAAATCAAACAAATATAGAACTAGTAAATTGTGAAACATAATCTAAACATGAGTTAGATTGATCTCCATAAAGTGAATATTATGATGCACCCAAATCCTTACCTTTGCAATACAATTTCAAAAATAGTAAACAGGAACAACAAGATTTGGATTAACAGGTGAGTTGTTTATAAAATTCAAATGTCTCATTTTGATTGGAAGGAAAATTGGAAGGAAACCATGCATTGTTTCCGTTCATGCATATTACTATTTAGCCACCCTACATTCCTGTTTGAAAAGAGCAATTATTCCCAGTTAGATATGCAAGAAAGTTGATAGATTTAAATAACTTTATGAAACTGCAGCTGCCAAAAACTCACTGTGACAAAATAAACACTATGCCGTGATAAAGGGTAGGCACAGAGAAATTTAACAGTCACTAGGAAATTGGCTCCAGGGAATTTGTCACGAAGATAAGACTTTTTGAGAAGAAAAGGCAGGATGGCAAAGAAGTCATATAACTATGGGGGAAAAAAATGATTTTAAAAAATATATATATATGAAAATCTTGTATAAAAGTAAGTCCACCACAATATACAAATTAAAAACAGTCGCGTCTTGATAGATAGATCCCTCAAGAAAAATTAAAGATAAATGATTGCTTTGAATTAAAAATCAACAGACAGGTCCATTTATGATCTTTAGGATGAATTTGTGGGATAGGGAAATTAATAATCCTTGATTCTGCTGCTGAATACATAAGACAATATTAATTTCTATAAGAGGTGAGTACGACGGTGATGAAGAAATTGATCCAAATAGAACTTGCAGCAGAAAAAAATAGTATAGAATTGTACAAAAAAAAAGATCACCAGCAAAGAAATATTAATACAACACAGTTCCAGCTAGTCAAGGCTTTCACCTGAATATAAATTTAAATACGATATTAGATAGCATCTTTAATTTAACCTCTACACAGAAACAATTTCCAGAAATGAAGAATTAGGCGGAAGCAAGCTATTCTGACATGAAGACCTTTAGCATTTACACTTCATGCTTGTACACAGTGATACTTATTTCCTTTAATACTTTCTCATACATAAGAAATTGTGAATTCCACTGAATTAGAGAAAACTTAAAATTACTATTGCAAACTTGGACTGCTTGAACAAATGTTCACTGAAACACCCAAAATAAATTGTTTTCATGAACCAAAACTAAATATGGAGCTAACCATATCAAACAATTCAGAGAAGTGAACTGCAGTATTGTCTACAGAAAAACCATAACAGATAAAACCATAATTTAGAACACCAAAGTTCAAATAAAAACTAACTAAACAAGGTGACCTTAGTGGAATTAAACTTTGACTTATAATCGTACTCCATTTTCAGTTCATTCAAATTCAGTTTGGAATTTTAATAAATATCAGTAGCAGGCTTCACATTTTTTTCAGAACCAATTGAACAAAATTTTCAGAACCAATTCAACAAATAGGCAACTAAGATGACCAAACAGCAGGTAATTTAAGTGGAAGTTCTGGACGTCTGAAGCATGATAATAAAGCTTTCAAACCCTAGAACTATAAACAATTGAGCAAAGGTAGATGTGGTTGCTAAAACAAACTAGCAACCCTAAGCTGACACCCAGACGACTATTTCCAAAAATAAAATATAAATAAATAACATAAGATACTGCAAAAAAGTAAGAAAATATCTCTTTTTCCAATTAAAACAGAATCCTTGACACTTCCATTCAGTTTCCTAGACTAAAATCACAAAGTAGGTCCTGATTTTGATCCCCGTAGCTCGTCAAAACAAGCCTTCACCACTGGAACTTGGACAAATTTGCCCAACCAGATTTCATATTTTCAGCCTAAATTCATGTATTCATCGGGACCGGTAATTGTAGCATTGAATTTACTACAGGCTATAACATGTACACACTTGCATTATATCTGTCCTTAAAATTTATTTGACGTTGCAGCACCAGGTAAAGGAATAATGTGTTAAGTTACTATATACCAAAAGTTCAAAACCACCAAGTGTCAACATTATCGCTGACAAATTGAAAAACCAATATTTATAATTTTTCATTAAAAAAAAAATATTTGCACATTTTGAGTAACCACAAATAATCTTAGGAAAAGAAACAAGTCACAGTTTAAAAGGTAAACAACTGAGGCTAAAATAGATGCTGTTTGGAGCTTTAAAAGTAGATGCATCAAATGAAAGTGAATGAAACAAAACTGTCCACAAGATGACCTATAACAACAGTTACCACTAAGAGAAAATAATATAGCAACAAAGCACAAAAAGTACCTTAACATCACCGGTTCCAGGAAAGAACATATCTCCAAACTTGTGAAAACTAACAGTCATCACCCTGTCATGTTAAACATCACCAAATGACTCCAAATCAATTCAGGTTCCAAGATATATCGACTCTATTAGAAAATTAAGTTTCTTAATAAAATCTATCTTTCTGAAAGAATTTGTCTTTGTCTTAATGATCTCAAATGTACTCATGACTATTAAATTGCTGACCGATTCCCTGCATCTGCGACATTTAAAAGGTAATCAAATAACTACAACAATAAATTCTTAAAGTGATAACCACACCATATTGCACAAACAGAGTTGCCCAACAAAGCTGTCAAACTCAGCCTCTAGACCACAAGAGTTATTTGGTAGGCATGTTGTTTGAGCAAATTTAATGCAATCAAATAATGTGGACTAGTACATAATAACTATAAAAAGAGCAAAGTTCTGGGTCATTGGTTTGGGCACAAAACATTCCACTTTTGAATCTTAGACCCAAAGCCCCATCTGGCAGCTTGCAAGCTAGAAATTTACATTTATACCAACTTAAAAAAATGCAACAGTCCAACTATTACTTGTCTAGCTTAAGCAATGTACCTTTTCAGTTTCTTATATCAACACAGTTCAAACAATGAGCAGGTATAGCTGAATCAGCAATTTTGAAGCAGCCAGATCATTTGACTTCATAACAGCAAGCAACTAAATATCATGTAAATGGCTTTTCAAATGAATTTATAATTTCTAAAAGTTAATCCTGCATCCTGGTCGGCATTGAACTTTCGATAAAGAATTTGCAATCTATAATAAAAAAGATTGCATTACCTGTCAGTGAAGTAGAAGGCTTCTTCTACACCATCACCGTGATGCACATCTATATCAATATATAAAACACGGGGATGATATTTAAGAAGCTCCAAAATTCCCAAAACCAAATCATTGATGTAACAAAATCCAGAAGCCTCGCATTTCTTTGCATGGTGCAATCCACCAGCCCAGTTAATAGCGATGTCACAAAGTTGATTGTTCAATCTGCGTGCAGCGTCTGCTAACAAACATTAGCCTTAGTTAAGGTAATATATAGACAGTTTAAATAAAAATACCATCAGGATTGAATTTACCTATTGTTCCACCTGCATAGATTTGACAGAACTCAAACAAATTCTCGAAGACAGGACAATCTTCTCCAAGATTATCTGAAGGAGGGAATAAAAGGGATAAACATTCAAATTTTCAATAGAAAAAGCATACTAGTCAACAAGATATATGAAGGCCCTTGTGATAAAAAATAAAATAAAAAAATATATATTTGACTATTTAACTTCTTTCCTAAATGATAAGAGACGAGGCAAAGGTTTGTCTCAACAAATCACACGTATGGATATTGACTTTACAACACGTGTCAGAATGTCTAGAAACACTCCAACAAGTGCCAAATACTCAATCTATCAAAATTCTCTTCGAGCACACAGGTTTTCTACACCAAACCATCCCCAAACTTAACTATTTTTCCAATCCATCAGACAAGGAACATAATTAATTCAAGAACTAAGATAGATACACAGTAATAAATATGTAGAGGATCATGTCATGAAAGGGAAATAATTACGTTCAAGCCACTCACGATAGATAATCATACTCCATTTATATTATATTCCGAAATAAGAATCATGTAAAACTTTTTTATTTTCAAAAAATATAACCAAGTGTTCAACTGAGAGAACTTAAGCCCAGATTTTTCAGAGCTCACCACAAAATAACTAAGAAGGTCAGTCATTTAAAGAAATACTAAAGTACTATGACAAATTTTCTTGATATGATTTAAGCACACAGAAAAATAATAATATTCCGCAAACTAAGTCATACATTTTGCCAATTCATTTGAGAACAAGTGTTGAGTATCTGGGGTTATCCGGTGCAAAAATTCGACATAATCGGCTGAATGAAACTGAGCAAGCTCAACAGGATATGCCTTGTGTGGCCTCTGCATTTTGTAACAAAAAGCATTAACAATAGAAAAGATTATATACTCACACAATAATAATAATGAACTGGCACTTATATATAAGAAAGGGATAAAGGGCATAGTTAATCTAAAAAATACCAACATAAATTTCCATCTTCTTGTGGAGCTCGTAGGAGAGAACAAGATGGTGAGTCATACAGAGACGATGTGGCTTCATCGGATGGTTTGGCCCGAAGTACACACTGCCCACGTCCCCTGCAGTAAACATTCTTTACAGTTAGTGACACAAAGATTGAAGTTTTGACCTATTATGATACATCCGTATATTTTTTTTTTTAAATAACCGAATAAATATATATGCACGGGCGTGGACAGAATGGGGCAGGCAATTACAATTGCACCCCATGAACTTCAGACAATTCTCGAGTATAAATGATGTATACATGGTATTATGCAGAGGCCAGTAAAATATCCACTCAGAGTCTCGGACATAAACAAAAGATCAAATTCAAACAGCCTAATCGATTTACTTGGAACATCAAAAATAAAGCTTTATCATATGGAAAATTTCCATTTCAACGTTTTCCAACTAAATTTTAAATTCTCAAGTGTTTTACATCATTGATATGTATCACACAATTTGTACAACTTTGATTTGTTTGTTAAGCTAAGTTTCTATTCAATTATAGTAAGTATCTATAATATATATATATATATATATATATAAAAGCGAAAATAACTTATCCATTGTTGGCTTCTAATAACTTTCAATAACAAATTCATGTGATTTTTATGCCATCATACGTCATCATATACGGATAAGAAGATATAGCCAAAACCGTTTATAAGCATAAGAGGAAGCTTTATCCAGCTGATCTTCTACTTGATCCATGTTGGAAAAAAAAAATGGATTGATTAATCATCAGAAAATGGATTGATTGACCATCATAAAATTTAGTAGGCCACCACTTATATTTGACCGGATAATATTATTTTTCTAATTAATAAAAATCCAGGGTTTGCCCAATGTATTCTCTAATTATCTATAAAAAAAACTGAAGCTAAACATCATCAAAATAAAATTAAAAAATAATAATACTTGGTAAAAACATATACATAGTTCATTTTCATAGGTGACCAGTGATGGCACGAAGTGCAGTGTAAACAAGAACCCTATACTGTAATCCATTTATTAATATGTTTTAAGTATAAAAAAATATCAATCAACTCAAATCTTGATAACTGGATGTCACTGAAAATGGAAATTGTTCTACCAAACCTCATGTGTTCGATTAAAAGCACAAACTGAGAACGAGTTTTGGGAGATTAATACAAGATATCTCGAACGCTTCAAACTTTAAAAAGAAAGAGAAACAGATCAACATATACTGTCTATATATATATGTACAGAGATGTATTATATATATATATATATATATATATACGAGAAAACAAAATTATGACGAAAAGAAGACAGTGATACCATCGTAGAAGTATGCGATTTTGTCCTTGGAGCGCATTTTAGCGGGCAGGCCAACGGACAGGAGCGAGAAGAAGAAATAGTCTTATGACGACTTCGCCATTTCCGGACTTTCTACTGAGCTTATAAAATGAGATGGGTAATTTTTTTGGCTGACCCTTCCCAAAAAACATAAAATAAAATAAAATAATACAGTAGCTCGTAAGCGCCAATAGACTATAAGCTATCCGGGTAGGTATTGGATTTTAATACCCATATCCAAGATGTTCCGGGCCAAGTCGATAGGATTATTGAGTTATTCGACACCTTTGGGCTAGTTTGGTTGGAGAGTATCGGAAGGAAAATAAATGGAGGGGAATGGAATATTGTGTTTGGCATTAATTTTTAAAGAAAAATAAAGGAAACAGAGGGATTTTGAAAGAAACAAATTATATAAGGAAAATTATGTATAGGTAGACTTAGTAGCCTTAAATAACAAAATAGTATACTTTTAAAGTTTATTTTTCAATTTGATTAAATTAAGCAAATTAATTACAAATACATCAACAATTATTTTTAAGGTCCAAAATACCCCTCAAACTCTAATTCTAAAATACTAAAATATCCTTATAATTATATAAGAATAATAATACTTGGTTCAATATTTTAGAGCCTAATTTGGTCCGATTCGTACACGGCATGGACACATCATCGCTCTTATCATTTTTTTTTCTTTCCAAAAGGACGTTTCTCTCTCTCTTCAATTAGATTTGGTTTGATTCCCTCTATCTTCTCTTCTTCGTTCCGTGCCCCTCTCTATCTTCATCGTCTCTCTCTCTTCCCTCTCGTTCCAATATGAACAACCACCTTGATGAATTGGCTTGTCATTGTTGTCTTCCTCATATCTCTTGTACAGTGGCTTAAGCTTCATCTTTTTATTTACAATGATTTGCTTACCAAAAGTAAATAAAGGATAAAGTGAAAATTTTGGTTCTTGGGTCAATTGATCTATATCCAGTATGTTACATATATAACCCGGGAAAAAAAATAAAATAAAATAAAATAAAATTTCAGAAATTTTTGAAATCAGAAAAGATTTAATTGAAGAGAGAGAAAGTCTCATTGAAGAGTGAAAATCTATTTCAAAATTAAGAACAAGAGTCACAACTTAAACCATAAACATCTAGGGTTGATCCCAAATTTTACTATTGAAGAGAAAATAAAAAAGAATGAAAAAATTAGACCATATCTAATTGAAGATATGGTATATGTATAAACATGTAAATAGTACATATAAAGAAGGAGAAAATGCCGTGTAAAAAAAAAATGGATTTGTAAGATATTCCCTAATCTTTTGTCATGCTTGTTGTGATGGATTTGATTTTCTTCACAAATTTTCTCACTCACGCTCCTTCCAAACTTATGATCCACCGTCAAGATTCAATAGTTCTTCATTGACATCTGGTATTTTGAAATTATATTACTCTAAGGATATTTTGGTATTTTAGAATAAGAGTTTGGAGGGTGTTTTGAACCTTAATAATTATTATTGATGTATTTGTAATTATTTTATTTAATTCAATCAAATTAAAAAATGAACTTTAAAAATAGACTATTTTGTTATTTAAGGGTACTAAGTCTACTTATACGTAGTTTCCCCTATTATATATACCATGTTGATTTGTTATCCTTAAAAAAATGAAAGTATATGGAAAGAAAGGCAAGGAAATGCCAACTTTTTTAATGAAATTTTGTTAATATCAAATTTGCCCTTATTTTATAAAAGACAGTTTATGAAAAAGGATATGATGGTAAAATCATTATAATATTTTTTTGTTTCTTTTCTTTTTCATTACGAATAGTATAATTTTATTTCTTTTTCTTTATTAATCAACTAAACATAATAAGTAGCTAATTATATCATCTCCTTTCCTTTCTTTTATTTTCTCTCTTAACTAATTTTATCTGTTTTTTTTTTTTCTCTTACAAACATAGTCAGTTTGAGAACCTTCGTCCCCTCCCTACCTTTTTATTTTTTCTTTTTACGAGGGGGCTTTTTCATACCATACCACATTTTATCACCGAGTGAATATAACCTTCAATTCAAATATATTAGGTAGGTGTGGGTTGGTGAACTGAAATGTCAATTTGAGAATAGAGGTTTCGGACGAGTTAAGTTTGTTTTTGGTCGGTAGTTAAGTCTCTATTAATTCACTCATAAGGCGTCATAGCGTTATTAAAAAATATTTTTGAGAAACAAATGAATGATGGATCTATAAAAAATAAAAAATTTGTAACTGGAACAAATATATATATATTTTTATTTTTTTAAACTAAAAAGAGAAAACAAAAGGTAAAATTTAAATTATTTGAAAGAAAACCTAATTTTTCTTTAATTTATATTAAGGGACATTTTTGTCACTGTTACATCCTTTTAATGGTGTGCAAATTTTATTTTTTTTTAAAGTTCTATTTTTATTTTTAAGAAAAATAAACCTAAACCTAAAATGAAATTTATTTTAAAAAAGTTAAGAGACATTTTCGTCTTTAGGTGCAATGTTGCAAGTTGCAACAATAAAAAATAGTGCTAATTGGTGTGCAATTAATGGCTTGCTGATTGTAGGCGTTGCAGTGCATATGGTGCTAATTTGGTGGTGGTGTTTGAGTTTTTGCTGTCTCCTCCGTTTGTATTCTATGCATTTTTTTTATAATTTTTTCCCTGGACTATTCTGCGCATTCTTTTGTTAGTTTTTTCAATTTTATTTTTCTTGAAAACCCGTTTTGGAAATGGTGATCAGAGTCCGTTGGGTTTTAATTTGGTGTGAGAGTAGCATTTTAGTAAAAATGAACATGTTTAAATTATTTGGAAGCACTTCAATTTGTCGTACAATTCCAACTTCTTTTTTTTTTTTTTTTGGGAGAGGGGTTTCTTCATACCATATTATATGTGATGATCCAGAAGACGGGTGCGAGACGCTACAAACTGCCACATTGGCAAGTTATGGGTGCACAATTTCACATCACTGGGTAAGGGAAAAGTAAAGTACTTTATATATAAGTGTGTCACTCCAATTGGTACGAGGCCTTTTGGGGTAAAGCCTAATAAGAGTAAAACAGTGCGAGCTCGGCCCAAAGTAAACAATATTATACCATGTGGTAGAATAGGTTGTAACAAATAGTATCAGATCTTGACCCAGTCGGAATTGTGCCGACGGGGACATTGGGCCTCCAAAGGGGTGGATTGTGATGATCCTATAGGCGAGATGCGAGACACTGGCAGACTACCACATTGGCGAGTTACGGGTGCACAATCTCACATCGTCTGGTTAAGGTGTGTTACTCCAATTGGTATGATCCCTTTTTGAGTAAAGTCTAGGAGTAAAATCGTGCCCGCTCAGGCCCAAAGCGGACAAATAATTCACTCATCAGTCATCATAGCGTTGTTAAAAATGATTTATGCAAAAACAAATTAATGATTGCATCTAAAAAAAAATAAAATATAGTGGAACAATTTTTAATTTTTTCTTAATTTTTTATTTTTTAAAACTTAAAAGAGAAAAGAAAACTTAAAATTTAAATTATTTTAAAGAAAACCTATTTTTTCTTTAATATATATTAAAGGACCTTTTTTTTTCACTATTACATCCTTTTAATGGCGTGCACTTTTTTATTTTGTTTAAAAGTTCTATTATTATTTTTTATTTTTAAGGAAAAGAAACCTAAATTGAAAAAGATTTTAAAAAAGAAAATCCTCAAGGGGCATTTAAGTTAGTAGGGGTGCAATGTTGCATCAATAAAAGAAATGTTAGGGAGATTTGATGTCAAATTTTTTTTTTTTTTTGAGGGCTTCATGCCAAAAATTGAAAGAAGGGGAGGTTTTTGTGCAATTTGTGTCACGGCCCTGAATATTCAAACCCAGTGCATCCTGTGCTGACCCGTTAATGGATTCGAATGCGGAAACAAAATATCATAAATATGACCAAAAAAATAGTCCCAAGGTCAAAATGGTTATTTCTAAAAATATAAATTCAGATATTACTGAGCACACTGCTGGAGAGACAATGACAAACTAATCAAGATGGACTAAAGAATCGCATGATTCAGAGTCCGGAAGAAGGAGAAACGGCAAGACGAAGAAAAACGAGCACTTAAGGCTAAAAGGGTAAACTAGTAATTATCTAGAAATATCTAGGTGCAAATGAGTACACCGTTGGATAGATGACAAAAAATTAGTCAAGTTCAAAAAAAATTTCATTCGAATTGGAGTCCGGACGAGGGAGAAAGGTCAAAAACAAAAACGATCACGAGCATGGCGCAGCTGGCAGCAAGGGTTTTCTTCCGAGTTTCCAAAACTGAGACTTAAAACGGACCCTTAAATGAACTTTTCTGGAAAAACACGAAGAAGAAACCCACCCCCCAAAATCAAGTTTTCTACCCGACAACGTGAACGGAAACAAAAAAAATGTACTATAAAATGCCCAGAATACCCCCAACAAAATCAGGTCAAGAAGTTTAAAATTATTCCGAACTACTGCCCAAGGAAAGGAAATGGGGGTTCGGGAGGTTTTTAAATTGCCTAAATTGAAAATGCAATCTTAAAATACACCCACAAGACCCCCGAAAGTTTCGGATTGGTCGTCACACTTTTCAAAAAAAAGTCGATAAATAGTATCGAGTACACTTGTATTAAAAATCAACAAAAACCTGGCAGTAAGGATTTTTTAGAAAAAAATATGGGTTTTTGAGGGCCAAGATGGTGTTTTCTGGAAAAACACAAAGAAGAAACCCCCCCTCGAAATCGAATTTTCTACTCTGTAACGCGGGCAAAAATGAAAAAAAAAATATTGTGAAATACCCGAAATGCCCCTAGAACATAATAGGGTAAAAACCCAAAAAAATGCAACCTTAAGTTTTTATTTCATCAAGAATGGTATTGTGTGTCAAAGTGAACATGCAAGCATACGTAATATGATAAAGTAGACGTACTACAATGGCCTACGACCTCATGGCATGTCATATGCAAAATATGACCCTTCAATGCATGAAACCCCATGTATTCCATGAACAAATTATGAAAATAAAGTAACATACATGGCATATGAGTGTCTTTGGCCCTTGGCCTCATTACATACGCATCTAAAGAGTATCAAAAGATGCACTTAAGTGCACATTATATGGCT